CGCGTGGGCCGCGCCGCCCTGGCCCGGGCCCGCGCCCCCCGCGGCCACCGCCGTGCCCGGCCCGCCCTTTCCCGGCCCCGCGGCCGCCGCCTTCCCCGCCGCGCCCGGCCATGCGCTGTGCCCCGCCGCCCTGCAGCCGGGCTCCGGCGGCCTCGCCAACCTGGGCAGTAGCGGCAGCTCCAGCGGAGCCGCCAGCGAGGGCGGCCACTCCAGCGACAGCGGAGACGAGGTGAGCTCTTCCCCGCCCCGAGCCCCGCGCGGCCGACTTCGCCGGGAAGCGGCCGCCGCTCCCCCCGACGGCTGATCCCGTCCCGCCGACGCTGCCCGACCCCGGGAGCGTCGCGCGTCGGTCCCGCCGCAGCCGTCCGACTCTGCGCGGGGCCGCGGTGAGCGCTGCCCGCGATGGGGTCGGGCTGTTCCCGGCTTTCCCGGCCGTCGGGGACCCGCGGCTGCGGCTCGGCCAGCTCTTACTCGCCCCAGCGGCGTTCTCTCGCGAGGCGCTGTTGCCTCCGACGTCGAGGCGTGTGCACGTGTGCAGCTTTGCGGTCTGCGGGACTTTTGTGGTTTTTAGCGTTTGGAGAAAAGGAGAACTATAAAGGCTCCGGGTGGCCGTGTGACATGCCCGGCTGCAGCCCTCGAGGCTGCGGTGGGAGTCCCCGTGCCTATACTCTGAGAAGACCCCGAGGGACCCTTCGTCCGCTGTGCCCGCAGCGTCGCGGGGCATTTCTCTACCGGGGAGGGAGGGAGATTTTCGGATGTCTTCGGAGCGTTCGGCCCCTGCGGACTGTGGGTCCCATCGGACCGCACTCTGCCCCGCTCCGCCTCCGAGCATCGCACTGGGGACGGACACCGCGTGCGTCCCCACGCGCGACACCCACGGGTGGTTGACCGGCAGTTGTGTTTGGGGGGTTTTGGTTTGAAGTCTTTTCTCGGCATCGCGTAGAAGCGTCCATCCTAGGCAGATGCGCGCGGTCAGCACCGGCGGGGATGGATGGCGATGTTTTTAAAGTTTCTGCGTGTTTTCTCTACTTGCGCCGGCCGCTTTTGTGTGAGCGGCCGCGGCACGGCGGGACTCCCGAGCCCGGTGGAAGGAGTCAGGGATGCGCCGGGCTCCCCGGCGTCGGCGAACGCGAGCGGTTAAGGCTGACGGTTGCCGGCAGGAGGCATATATGTAAAAGCCAAAAACCTGCTGCGAATGTGTAACTGGATAAAAGGGTTGCGAAATGCCCACGGCAGCACTTGAGGCTGTAGCCATGGCAGGAAGCCGATGTGCTCGGGTGAGCGGCTGTCCTGAAGTGCGGATCCTGGCTGGGGGAACCACGCGAACCGCGCGGCTGTCGTCACCCGCGGTATCTCGGGCCATTCACCGCATGTCTGCCTCTGCCCCTGCCAGGATGCACCGACCTCAGAGGAGCTGGAACAGTTCGCCAAGGACCTCAAGCACAAGCGCATCATGCTGGGTTTCACGCAGGCTGACGTGGGGCTGGCTCTGGGCACGCTCTATGGTAAGAGGGGAACCCGGTGAACCCAGCTGAGAAAGGACCGTGCTGGAAATGGGTCCCCGAGGAAGGGGATCCTGGGGGCTGCGGGCTCGGCACTGCTTCTGGGGTGGGCACAGCTCAGGGCCCACGGGAGCTGTGCGTGATGTGCGACCTCTCCACGCAGGGAAGATGTTCAGCCAGACCACCATCTGCCGCTTTGAAGCTCTCCAGCTCAGCTTTAAGAACATGTGCAAGCTGAAGCCACTGCTGCAGCGTTGGCTCAACGAGGCAGAGAACACGGACAACATGCAGGAGGTACAGGGCAGAAAATGCATTTGTTTCCCCTGTGTCTGTAGGTGGGGGTTCAGTGGTGGGATGCTGGCTGCAGGGGGTGAAGCACCACTCTGAGCTTTTACTGCATCTCTGAGGCTGTGCTGGCACAGTTATAGGGAGAAAGCCTTTCCCTCGCATAGCCCTGCAGCCAGTTGTGTGTGTCTGGGGCGGGGGGACGTGGACAGCCCTGGGCCACCCTGTGACCAAGTGTGGTCTCTTACTTCCAGATGTGCAATGCAGAGCAAGTGCTGGCCCAAGCCCGGAAGAGAAAACGTAGGACTAGCATTGAGACCAACGTGAAGGGAACACTGGAGAGCTTCTTCCGCAAATGCGTGAAGCCCAGTCCTCAGGAGATCTCCCAGATTGCTGAGGACCTCAACCTGGACAAAGACGTAGGTTTGGCAGTTTGGGGAGGGTGAGGGGGGTCCCAAACAGCTTCAGCTCCTGGGCACACTGTGGGGCCGGTTTGGTGCCGGGAGGTGGGAGGGTGGCTGCTCTAGGTGCCCCCCCCAGGCGCTCACACTGCGCAGTGCCACAGAGCCCCACTCATCTTGCCCCCCCCCCCATCTCCCTTCCCTCGCAGGTTGTCCGGGTCTGGTTCTGCAACCGGCGTCAGAAAGGCAAGCGGCTGCTGCTGCCCTTTGGCAACGAGTCAGAGGGGGTGATGTACGACATGAACCAGTCCCTGGTGCCCCCTGGTCTGCCCATCCCAGTGACATCCCAGGGCTACAGCCTGGCACCGTCCCCCCCCGTCTACATGCCACCTTTCCACAAGGCTGAGATGTTCCCCCCGCCTCTGCAGCCCGGGATCTCCATGAACAACAGCAGCCACTGAACAGCAGCGGGGGGCAGGCAGCGGTGCACCCATCCAGAGGCAGCGTCCCCCCCCCAGCCCTTCCTGGCCATGTGAGCGCTGTCCCAGCAGCAGCCCTATGTGGGGTCAGTCGCTCCTGGGCTCCCCCTCCCTGTTACTTGCCTGGGGCCGAGGGAGCCGCCTGTGCCAGGCCCCAGCCGAGCTGCTCTCCTGCAAGAACCAGAAAAAAGCATTTCTTAAATTGTTTTAGGGGTTGGGGGAGGGGGATTTGTTGTTTTTGGTTTTGGTGTTGTTTTTTTTTTATGGTTTTGATTGTATTTCTAGTTTTTAAAAAGTGAAAATATCTTTGTAGTGATGGCTAGTTTCCCAGCTGCCTCCTCCCTGCCGTGTAGAGCAGGGCTGGGGTGCTGCGAGGTGGGGGTCTCCTGCAGGCTCTGCGCCTGTCCAGGCAGCCGGGGGGAGCCAAGGGCCGTGATGGTGCTGGGGGAGCCCGGCAGCCCCCACCCCCCTGCCCACAGCACAGGCGAGGGGTTGTGTTGCACCCGCTGTGGGCAGAGTCGGGGGCAGGGAGGGCCGTGAGCCCACAGTGTCACCATGGAGCCAGTGGGACTGACACCATCCTGTCCATGCTGCTAGCACCCCGTGCCTTTGAGCCTGCTGTAGTTGATGATTTTTTTTTTTTTTTCCTTAATCATATTCCCTCTGGCAATTAAATAAATCTCAGTTTTTTGGGGCACGAGAGCTAGTCAACCCCTTCCTTTCTTTGCCTGCCTTGCACCCCGTGCCAGGCCGATCCAGCTGTGGGGGGTGTGGGTGGACTGATGTCTGTGTCCTGGCAGGAGCTCTGCTGAACAGCAGCATTCCACATTGCAGCAGAGCTGCCACTTCGTGCTGCCCCAGGCTGCTTGGGTTGGCAGGTGCTGGCCCTGGGGCTGCCCTGCCCTGGGTCCGACTCTGTGCCGAGGAACCAGTAACCCGTGCACAGCTCCAGGGCTGGGTTGCAGATCAGTGGGAGCAAACAGCCCAGTTCTTTTCCTCTACAAAAGCAGATATATTAAGGAATATGTATGTGTATGAAGTGGGAGGGGGTCACTTTCCACACTTACAGGGCTGCTGTTTTTTCTGTAGCTGCTCTTAGGAAAGGTGAAAGCTCAGCCTGGTGAGGGACATTGGTGCTGGTGTGCAAGTGGTACCCAAACCAGGAGCAGGACAATGCCAGGGACTGACACCTCAAGCAATGAAGTGACCAGAGCTCCGGTGAAACCTTCTCTGAAAAGCCCCTTATTTAGTTCAGTTGGTGGTAAACGATGCTCTTTGCCTTTGTAGCTGGTCTATACCCTTGCTCCTTTGTGCTGTGCAGCACAGTTGGTGCAGGCTGCTGCTTGGGGCACCTGGTGATCCTGAAAAGGGGAGAAATGGAAGCCCAGGCTGCATGACAGCCCCACAGGGCAGCACCCTGTTGGCTCACCCTTGTGGGTAAAGAACTGAGGGGATGCACGGTGAGGGCCAGGGGATATGCAGAGCAAGGCAGGGACAGAGCAGCATTATCCCAGCCCTGTCACGCCATCACCTGGCCTCAGCATCTGCTGCTGGACCCAGACAGGTGCTTCTCGATGTGTGTGGGGGCTGCCCATCGTGCAGGGTGCTCACAGAGCAGGCACAGGAGCAGGCAGTGCCAAGCGGGCTGGGTGCTGGGTGTGCACAGCAGATGGTGTAGGTGATGCAGAGTGTCTGTGGTGCAGGGTGTGTGTGATACAGAGTGTGCGCAATGCAGGGTGCTCAGGGTGCACGGTGTGCAGGGGGCTGGCGGTGCCAAGGGTGCTGGGCGCAGGGTGTTGGTGCCAAGGGTGCCAGCAGGGCAGGGTTTGCTCTCAGCTCGCTGTACAGCTCAGGACAACCCATCTCAGCAGCTTCCTGTCACAGCATGCTGGCAGCGGAATGAGAAACCACAGCCATTCTGCTCTGAGTCACCTTGCACTGAGCAGGCTGTGATTGCTCTCAAGAGCATCCGACGTCCTGCTGGCACCGTGACACCTGTGGTGAGAGCAGGGTGGGAGAAATGGGTGCTGCAAGGCTGCGCTAGTGCAGAATTTGGGGCACAGTAACAAGGTCCCCTCCTTGGCTGCAGGGTGCTGGGCCCCCAGCAGGATGTGGCTTCTCACCTCAAGCTACAGGAGGGGTTGGCTCCCCCATCAAGCTAGAAATGCCGCTGCGGAGGGAGCCTCTGCCACTGTGGAGTCATTGCTCAGATAGTGGGGGGAGCAGAGAGCAATTGTAGGGCATAGGGGGAAAGGGAGGCTGGAGAGCCCTGCCTGAGGGTTCCTAGTGCCCCTGTCTGCCCTCAGCCCTGCCCAGGCCCGGAGAGATGAGCAAAGCCTCAGGAAACCTGTGCTGTTTATTTCCAAAGCACCCTGTGGTTGCATGGTGAGGGAGGTCAGTATGGGTTGGTTGTGGTTTGCAGGAAGTTCTGTCACATAGCATTGCTCAAGGTCACAGTGTGGCAATGGCAGGGCCAGGATGAGGTCCCACATCCTCCCTGCCTGACATCCTGTCCTCAAGGACCACTCTCTGCCACCCTAATGCACCCCTGATGTCTCTGGCAGTGCCAGCCCTGCACTAGTTGTTGAACCAGCTCTGCAGGTCAGCATAGAGGCGGCCCTGGGACAGGTGGGGGTACACGGCACAGATGGTGCAGATGCGCTCCCTCCAGTCTGCATAGAGCTTCACGCTGTACCTCTTCTGCCATGCAAAGAACTGCCGGTAGCGACTGGAGTTCATGGTCTTCAGGAAGGTGGCCAAATCCTCCAGGGAATGGAAGTCATCGACGTGAATGAATGAGTCTGCAGGGATGAACTGCTCATAGTTGGCCCGGGGGGGGCCCAGCACCACCGGCACAGTGCCGGCCAGCAGAGAGTTCCTCCAGAGCTTCTCAGTGATGTAGTCCTGGTGGATAGAGTTCTCAAAGGCCAGGTAGAACTTGGATTTGGACGTCGTGGGCAAAAGGCAGTTCTTGCAAAGCGGCTTCTTGGCTGCTTTCCCATAGATGTTCACATGGAGATACCTGGACAGGTTCTTATAGACTTCAGCTCTTTTCTGAGTCCTGTGATAGTTGCTGATAACCCAGGACACCAAGTTGGTCTTTGTGGGGATGCTCACAGTGGCTGACCGGTTGGACACCAGCTTGCCATAGGGCATGAAGATGTCCGAGTCCCGTCTGTAGGTCATCACCCAGTTGAAGGTCTGGTTCCATCCTGCTAACGCTCTCGTGTTGGTGGGGGACTCCAGCGACACCCAGACCCAGCCCTGCCCACGCGGTCTGTCCCGGGGCAGCTTGTCCCGGCCCTGAGGGAGGGTGGTGTGAAGGAACACCACCACGTCAGCCTGGCTCAGGAGTCGCCGCTCCGTGCTGAGCCGGCAGCCCGCAATGCCGTACTGCTCATGACAGACATCCGCGCTGAAGTCTGGGACCTGCCTCGAGGGCCATTCCCACACCAGGACCGTCAGTGCTTTCGTGTGCTTGAGGGCTTCATCAGAGCTGTTGGATGAGCGGATGAAGCACTTCAGGTTCCAGAGCATGGTGACCAACAGCCCTGCAGTTACTGCTGCCTTCACACTGGGCCGGCCCCACAACCACCGCAGCAGCAGCAGTGCCCTGGACATGGTGCCTGGGGTCTGCTGGCAGCTCCCTGGACAGAGAAGAGGCCCATGAGGGCCGTCAGCTCAACCACCCAGCTGGGGGGCACAGTGCAGAGGGGAGACATGGGGTTGGTGAGGTTGAAGGAGGACTTCTCTGTGCTTCCTCCACCCAAATTCTATGGGGTTCAAGCATAGCAGAGAGCATTGGGAACCCCGTGACACTGACCCCTGTGTGCCCACAGCACCTGCACCAGGGAAAAGTCCCACGTGCAAAAGATGAAAAGGCTGTGCCCAAGGCTACCTGGCAGGGCATGAAGAGGCAGGAGCCATCCTGTCCCCATCACCCCCAGCACTGTCACATCACCCCCACATGCCCATCCAGTGCCCCCATCTCTGGAGCAAACAGTGATGCTGCCGAAGGGCACACAGAGCAGCAGCCACCTGTTCTCTGGTCACAGCTGATGTGCACCACTCTCAGTGACACACACAAGGCATGCTTGCCTTGCCACTTGCCTCCTGCTGCAGTTTCCCCATCTGGTAAATGGCCACAGTCCCTCTCCACACTTCTCGTTTTGCCTGGGGGGAGTTGAGATTGGGATGCAGCCAGGTTTGCTGCAGCAGAGCCCAAGAGGAATGTGGTGTTCTTCCTGGGGGCTGCAGGATGGAGATATTCACCAGAGGTGAGGGGGTGCTCTGGGTCCTGCCCCACTGCTGGGGGCAGGGAGCTGCAGGAAATGCCCATACCCTAATGGCAAGGCCCCAGCTGTGAGCACAAAAGATGCCCTCAAGATGTTCCTGGGAGCAACTGGCAAGTCCCAAAACTCAAGGCCAGAGTGCAGTGTCCTGTTCAAAACTTGTCCCCCTCATCCCATACCCTCATGCAGCAAGGGCAGTGCTCTTGCTGGCCTCAGGGTGTCTCCCCAGACCCCAAGTCATCCAGGCTGGGAACTTGCCGTGGGCACCTCAATGCCCATCCTTTATTTCCAGTGTGTCCCAGGTCCCCAGCAAGCAGGGCAGCAGGGGCTGCAGGCAGAGGGCCCTTCAGCTCCATAGGGCTGCAGCGAGCAGAGCTCAGCTCACAGGCACACGGCAGGGGTGGCTGCGGGGCTGTGAGGGGAATGCTCAAAACCCCCACGAGTGTCAGTCCCAGGCGCTGTACAGCCGGACTGCCTGTTTTTGCCATGTTAGGTTGATACTGGGTGGCAGAGCCATGAGGCAGGCTGCAGAGCACAGTTCCCCAGTTCTCCTCCCATTCCTTTCGGCAGCCTGTACTTCTGCTTGTGCTGCAGCCACATTCCTGGCAGGGCTCAGAGCCTGCAGGCTGCCCACTGCATTCAGCACAAAGTCCGTTTCCTTTCTGGGGAACCCCCCAAAGCCCACTGGATGCCTCCTACCTGCTGCTAGCCAGGGGTGCTGGCCCCTCTAATTTCAAAGGGCTATGGAAGAGGTTGCTCCACTTTCTCAGCTGAGCTGCAGCAGCTTTGCTTTTGAAAATCCCTTCCCTGCTTTGGCCTGCTCGGTCTGTCATGCTAAAATACATGAGCTAAGTTTAGGCTTCAGAAAAAAATCATCATCCGCATGGGAGGGCTGGGAAAGCTCTGCATGCTCCCCACACTGCGTGCAGGGCATGGCCCCCCACCAGCCTGTCCCCGCAGAGGAGACACTGCCCTGCTTTGGAGGGACGCTCTGGGGGGCTGCGGCCAGGCTGGCAGTGCCAGGAGCCGATGCACTGCTCTGCCCCAGCCCTGGTGTGTGGCAGTGCTGGCGCATGGGCTCAGCCTGCAGACTTACCGTGGAAGGGACCGTGGCACAGCACGGCACGGTGCAGCCAGGGAAGGTGACGGCTGTCTGGGTGCCACGGGCAGCTGCTGGCTCTGGCCTGAAGTACCCGAGGACTTCCTCTTTTATGCGGTTTTGCTGTGCAACTGCCTCTCAGCAGGATCCTTCCTGGTATCAGAACTCTCTGAGCACTTCCCCTATGCAGAACGGGTGGCAGTGTCAACCTTGGATGGCTGCATGCCCATGGCCAGATGTGTGCCTGTGCCAGATGGGATCATGCTGCCCCGTGCAACATGCTGGCAGCCTGGCAGATGCTCATAGCTCCCTGTGCCTGGGTGTCCTGCCAACCACCCTCCCGCTTCCCCTTGGCTTCTTGGCATGGCTGTGGCTCTGTGGGATCTTTACAGAAGAGTCATTTGACCCTTTGTAGGGTTTCATTCTGCGAAGTGGTTTCTGATGAGTCAGCTTTGACACTAAGAACAAAGAATACCTCCCTTCTGTTGAGCACCTTTTCCATCCCTGCTGCTAGCCAGACCCACAATTAGCTACAACTTTCCCTTGTACCTGCCCCTGGTTTGGGGTTTGCACAGTGTCCCCATGTCCTTGCACCAGGGGTGCCCTCACAAGCAGACAGGGATGAGCTCCATGCCTATAGTCTGCAGTCTCCAGCTCTCCCACCGTTTGCATGCCTTCTACCCGCACCCCACAGCAGGGGACAGGGAGGGGGCATAGGGTGACACTGGGGAAGTGACAGCAGGGATACACACTCAGCCTGGTCTGAGAAAACAGCAAGATGCTCCTTCAACTTGGACTGAAACCTGCTGCAGCATTTGTGTTTGCTTCAGCCCATTGCAGAGCTGAGAGGGGCACAAAGGAGCCCAGCATCTCAGCCTGGCATTGCCAGCAGGACCACTCAGGCCCTGGTTAGGCTGGGGCCGATGCCCTCCTGGCCAGCACTGGGAAGGAGCCCAGGTGTGCACACTGGGTCTGTGCCTGTGCTGAGATGGGTGTAGCCCAGCCCTCAGTCACCCCAGCGTGCCACCCTGCAGTTGGGTTGAAAACAGGATGCCAGCCTGATTTTGGCTCACACTGACTCATCTTGAAACTGTTAGCTAAAGTGGCACCAGCAGCTCCTCTCTGCTTCCAGGCATGACAGTTGAGGCCAAAAGGGAAAGCTGGTATGTGTATGCACAGAGCTGTTCCCGTGCCCAGGTCCATCCATACCACCGTTCTCATGCATCTTCCCACCTGGCTGTATCATCACTGGCATCACTGTCTGGGCATCACCTTCCCCCACAGCCCTGGCAGGGTAAAGGGGGGGGAAATTGAAGGAGAGACAGGGAGGGGAGCTCTGGGGCATGCAGTGTTGTCCTGTGTGGGCTGACACTTTCATTGCACAGTGTGCACAGAGTAGAGAGTGAAGTCCCACCATGCTCTGTGCCCCTAAACCACTCCATGGGGATCCTTGGGATGTTCGAGCAGCTCTGGGGGATGCCCCCATCGTACCCTTGTTCCTTTCCAGCCCTGGGCTGGTAGCACTGCCCTCTGGACCCACAGTGCTGGTGGAGCACCAGAGGGCACCCCAGACAACAGCTGGCACCAGGCTGGGCACAGCACTGTGCCACCGTGCAGGGGTGTAGTAGGGCTTTGTGGTTTCAGTGCTGATCTCAGAGACCTCTGATGCCAACTGCAGCACTGCGGTTGGGTGTTTTTCTCCCTTGTGCTCTGTTTCCTGTTACCTTTGTCACCCCTCTTTTCTGTGTCTCTTCTCCTCCCACATTGCCAGCCCAGATACCAGGCACTGCACACCCGAGGCTGCCCCGACCTGAGCGCTGCTGACAGCACTCCCTGCCCAGTGCTGTTCCTGTCCCCAGCACAGGTGGCCTCGGGGTTTCAATCACAGACTGCACAAAGAGCAGTGTTACAGCCCAGCTTCCCCCGCTGCTGCTGAGAGCACATACTGTTGGGGTTTCAGAGCAGGAGGAATGCTGCACGGGCATCTCCTGTCCTCAGCCACTGCACACTGACCCTGGGAGATGGCACTTGCCTGGCAGAGATGCCACGCAAGGTTTTGCCCAGAAGTTTTTTGAATAATGGCACTTTGTGACAGGACAAGGGAAGCTTTTGTGGTGCCCAGGCAGCTGCTCCGGAGCAAAGCCTGCAACGCTGTCGCCCTTAGCAACACAACTCGGAGGCGGGTAGGCGAGGCGCTCACTGTGCTGCCCTTGGCCCTGGCAGCAGCGTGGGGTCAGGATGGTAGGAGATACGGCAAGAGAGGAAAGGGAGCAGGGGTACAGAAAGGGAGCAGCGCAGCTGAGGGTCACAAGCCTGGCCCCAAGAGCTGCCTCTGCTCTTCTGCAAACACGAGCAACAGAGGGGGCACCCCCAAAGGCTCGTCCCCAGTGTGATCCCCCAGGCAAGCCTTGCCGCAGGGGGTGGGCACAGCGGGTCCGTGACTCTGCATGCCACGTCCAGGAGGGAAGAGGGTCGCTGCCGTGTGACAAAAGCAACCACCAGGAGGAGATGGGTCCACGTAAACCTGCCAATAACGGGTCCTCCGGGCTACACCAAGGACGAGCACTGTCCTGGGGCACTCCTCGGGGTGAGGATGTGCGCCATGACTGCCACGGGCTCTGCAGGGTCTGCTGTGCCACGGATCCACCGCCAGTGCCGCCAGAGCTGTGGGCGCCCATCCCTGGAGGTGTCTAAGGCCGCGGATAGGCCCCGGGCAGTCTGAGCTGGGAGGCAGGCAGCCCACGGTAGGGGTGGGGCTGGGGGCTTTAAGGTCCCTCCAACCCAAACGTGCTGTAGCTGTGCTCCCTGATGGAGAGGGCAGCAGAGGCTGTTGGTGCCCCGCACGACCTCCGGGGCGGACGAGGGTACCGGGCGGAGCATCCCGCAGCGCGGCCGCAAGATGCGTCACTGCACAACTCTGCCCCGCGCCCCGCGGCCGCCGCAGCGGAGTCCCGGCGGTGCCTTTAAGGGGCGGTGCTGCAAGTCGGGGGCGGTGCTGCGCAGGGCCGGGCCGGGGACGGCGGGGACGGCCGCCTGCTGCCAGCCGAGCCGAGCCGAGCCGAGCCGAGCCGAGCCGAGCCTGCTGCGGACAAAGGCGGCGGCCCGTGCCGGGCATGGCGGTGGGAGGTGGCTGAGCCGCGGTGCCAAGCGGAGCGGAGCGGGGCTGCCCCCGCGGCGGGGCCGGCGTGGCCATGGGATTCTTGCACCAGCTCCATCTCCTGCTCTGGAAGAACGTGACGCTGAAGCGGCGCAGCCCGGTGAGCGCCGGCGGAGCGCCGGGAGCCGTGCGGTGCGGCGGGGCCCGCTGCGGGCGCGGCGCGGGGTGAGCGCGGCTCATCGCCGGCGGAGGATCTCCTCCCGGTGCCGCTCTGCATCGCCGTGCGCCGGGCGAGGCCGTCCTGGGTTCGCCGCTTCCTTTGACGCCTCGGGGTACCCTCTCTATTTCTTGGCCGGGCTCAGGGGATGAATAATTCATGGAGCGCTGGATGCGGAGATGTAGCGACGTCTGCTCGCCTCGGGGGCCGGAGAAAAAGGAGAGCGGATGCCATCCGCGTACAAACGGTGCGGCCGAGGCTCGCCCCTCGCACCCCGCAGCCCGGCCGCGCGGCTCAGCAGCAACAGTTGGCTCTCGGCCCCCCCCCCCCGGGTCCCACCGTGCGCAGCCTCTGCCCCCCCTTCGGCCCGCTGGCTGCCCGCGAGCTGTGCCTCCAGGCCGCGTCTCGGGGCTGAGAGCCTTCCCGAGCGCTCGCTATAAATAGGATTCCAAACCGTACGTGGGTCGGGACTGCGGCTTCCCCGTGCGCCGGGCTCCTCGCGCAGCAGGCGGAGGGACGCGGGGCTCTGCGGATCCTCTCGGGCCCTTCTCGGCTCCCCGGGGAGGTGCCAGTTCCCCGCTATCCGCCCCCGGGGGGCACCGGCACCGCGCTGCCAGACGTCCGTCTGTCCATCCACCCGTTGCGGTGCGCGCAACGCGCCGGGGTCTGGGTACCGGATTAACCCTTCCGTGGCCTCGTCGGCCTGCGGCATGCAGGGGAGGGGTGTGATGGGAGGGGGGGGGGTGTCGGGCTCTGTGTGCGGGAGACGCGATTCCGGCGGACAGCCCCTCCCCCTCCCGCTCCCCCAGCTCTGCTGGGTCCCCACGGCACGGAGGTCCCCGCGGCCCGGCGCGCATGCAGGGCTGGCCGGGGATGGGTGCGGGGAGCCGGTTATTTTTAGAGGCTGGGGGAGGGTAACGAACTGCTGCTCTCGAACTGGTAATGCTCGCTTCTCTCCTCTCCCGAACGCCGTGCAGCCGATCCTGCGGGCTCTCCTCAAGCATCCCCATACCCGCAGGGCCGTGCGGTTGGGCAGGGCCGGGTGAGGCCGTGCTGCGGGCAGGTGTCTGCCTGGGCAGCCCTGTGCGTGGCTGAGGGCGATGTCCTTCGGCTGAGTCATCCCTCTCCCTGCCCTGCACAGCTGGGGGCTGCCCGGTCCCCGTGTGCTACAGCCCGGCCCGCAGGGCTGGTACGGCACTGTCGACTCTCAGTGACTGCCCCGGCGTGCTGCCCTGTATCCAGGCACTGAGCCTGGTGGTTTTATGGTCTGAAGATAGGTGCACCCTTTGGGCATCCCTGTGCCCCCACAGTCCTCCAACTTGGCTGGCAGTGCAAGAGTGCAGTGCTGAACAGTGTAGCCTGATGCCGGCTGGTCGGGGCAGTGTTAGGCCCTGTGCCAAAACCAGCCTCGACAGCCCAGTGGGTGGCTGCAGCCTGCGCCCAGCTGAGATGCCCTGCCTGGATCCGGGCCCTGTCTGGAGGTGAACATCTCACAGAGTGCTGCCAGCCCTCAGTGCCCTGTGCTGATCCTGCGATGCCACGTAGAGTTGAGCAGCCCCAGCAGGGTGTTGGAGCAGGGTGGGGCTGAGAATGGGACCCCTCCCTGGCTGCAAAGCAGGGAGCAGCCGTGCTCCCACCCCTCTCATGGAGGCAGCGTGGTGCCAGTGGCTTTGCCCTGCCGGCAGCTGGAATGCGGCACTGCCCTGCTGTGTGTGCCTCGAAGTACAGCGCCTGCTCCTTCCTGCTAACATCCGGGCCGCGGGCTCAGGGGCAGCAGGGCACGGCATGGGAGAGGGTTTCTCTCTCAAACAGATGCCTCATGCTTGGCAGAGATCAGGAGGGCTGGGGCCAGTCCCTTGTTCTGCCACTGAGCTGCTGGTGGCTGTGGGGCAGTCTCCATTATCCATGGCACATCACTCCATGGCCAGCTGTGCCCAGGGTAGTGCTTTCAGGGCAGACTTTTCCTCAGCCTCTGCCCTTGTCAAAGGCTTGGTTTGTCAACCTATGGTGCAGCAGTGGCAGGTACCAGCCTTGAGCAGGGTGGCTCGGAGAGGCACCTGACCCTCTGTGCCACGTCACCTTCTGTGACCCTCTGTTTCCCAGGCCTCCCCAGGGGGAGGTTTGCTTTGTGCTTGAAGCCCAGTCTGTGGTGATTGTGGTTTTATTCTTCCTAGGCCAGAATTCAAGGCAGGAGACGTGCTGTGGTGAATGCATGGCCATGGGGCAGAGTGGAGTGAGGGCACAATTCTGCAGTGCAGGGGGTGGTTCAGCAGCCCTGGGCGGTGAGGGCTGGAGAAGAGCCTCGACTCTGCTGGGATGGGGAGCAGAGCTATGTGCATCTTGTTGAGGGATGGGCTCTCAGATAACTCTCAATAGTTAATTAAACCTGCGTGGGGTGTAAAATGAACAGGTGAACTCAAGTTACCCTGGACACTGAGGGTAAAGCTGAGGGTGTTTGGCAGCCTTTCCTGGCCACTTTATGCGCAACTGTGGTTGGGACAGGAAGGCGGCTGCCACAAGAGTTACTGGCTTTGAAGTGCAAGCGATGGAAGAGCACTGTTGGATTTTATTTGAATCTTTTTTGAAAGTGCAGGTTGTGTAGGACTCCTGGAAGAGTGGTGAACAGAAGGTGAGGCTCTGGGCACCGTAGCTTGTCTCCAATGTCAGCAGGGTCCCCAGGGTGCAGGGTAGAGCTGACCTGGGGAGCCAGGCAGCAGCATGGCTGCTTCATGCTGCAAAAGGCTTGTGTGCTTCCTAGTTCATTGCTGAAAGGCTGGGAAGTGTCCCACTGCACAGGGGAATTGTCCTGAAAAGTCTTTCTGTGAGTGACCGAGTAGGATGACCTCGATGCCCTTAGAATCAATGCTCAGGCATCATGCTATGGCATCCTGCTCCTGCCACAAGCTCCCAGAAGCTGTCCCAGCACTGGGTGGGAGCTGACATCAGCCCTGGCCAGGGATCACTGGGCTGGGCCCTGCACTGACGTAGGGTGCTCTTTGCCCCCTCTTTGTTTGCAGCTGGTGCTGGGGAGGCGCGGCAGTGCCAGGCAGCATCCCTGTGGGTCACCACCCCCTCTCAGGGGCTGTGGCCAAGCTCTGAGTGCTGCCCTGGGGTGCTGAGCTCTGTGATACCCTTCTCGCAAGGACTGCATCTTGACAGCTGTAATGCCGTGTTTGCAGTAAGCAGGCGTTTGGCAATGCTGTGATTAAAGTTTGGTGCCATCAAAACGTTTTCTTCAGCCTTAAAAATTGGGCAGCAGGGCATTACAGTGAGAGTGGTGAGGTGCTGGAACAGGCTGCCCAGAGAGGTTGTGGATGCCCCATCCCTGGAGGTGTTCAAGGCCAGATTGGATGGGGCCCTGGGTAGCCTGGTCTAGCATTAGGAGGGATGGTTGGTGGCCCTGCGTGTGGCAGGGGGGTTGGAGATTCATGATCCTTGAGGTCCCTTCCAACCCTGGCAATTCTGTGATTCTGTGACTGCTGTCTCCCTCCTCCCACAAGCAGAGGTCAGGCAAACCCTTGCCCTGGTGCCCTGCCCTGGGCAGTCCCAATACGATACGCTTGCCCTCTGTCCCCCGTGCCCGTAGGTGGTGACCACCAGTGGCAGGTGGCCCTGCTGGCTGCCTCCCCTTAGCACAGGTTGAGGCTGTGCTGGGGCAGTGCCCTTCTTATCAGCAGGCCCCCACCTGCCTGCCCCCTGAGTGAGTGCCTGGTACTGGGATGGGGATGAGGGAGGGTTTTGCAGCCCAGCTCCATTTCTGGTTTGATCCAGGGAAGGAGCTGAGCAGGAGGTCAATGACCTGCTTTAAAACACACAACAACAAACAGGCCCCTCCTTTTGCCAACAAGGACCAAACAGTCTCCAAAGGAGCCCTGCCTGGTACGGTCCCAGTGCAGGGTGCTGGGGGGGCAGCGCAGGGACGGACCCGCACCCATCTGCACACAGAGATCCCATTGTGTGCCTGGTAAACAGGCAACAGGCAGGGAGGGGTGCAGGCAGCCCATGGCAGCTGGACCAGAGGCAGGGCAGGTCGGGATGCCCCCTGCATCCGGCACAGGGATGGTGACAGCAGGAATGGTACGTAGGACCAGGGGTGCTGCACAAACAGGAATCCCCCCCCATCCCTGGCTCTGCTCCCAGGCAGCCTGGCCTCCTTCCTAGGGCATCTTCCATTCCCATCCACTCCAGACCTTGTTTTTCCATTATCTTCTTTCTCCCAGATCTGGTTCCCAACATGGAGTGGGCGGTGGAGAGGCTTCACAGGGTGAGCTGGGAATGTGGTGGGCAGCACCCATGGAAGTAGCCATGGCCACACACTGGGATAAGGCCAAGAGAGCAGGGGGACAGCCCAGCCCAGGTGCCCTGTGACCCAGCCAGCATGGCCAGGCAGCACCAGGACTGAGCATGGTGGGCTTTGCTGCTCTCCAGCATATCTGACCCCAGCCCTAAGTCATGATGCGAGGTTGCCCTCTCTGCTTAGATTACCTGGGGTCTGGTCTGGCCCTGGAGCAGGTGGAGGTTGGCTCACCTCACACTGTGCCTCATTTTCCCCAGATTGTTTCCCATTGTGCTTGCTGTGCAGGGCATCAGTGGGGCTGTGATGTGGTCTCAGCACTCCTGGTGCAAACCAGCAGCAGCTGTGCCTGCATCTGCAAATGGCTGAAGGTGTTGGTGCCCTTCCCCAGGGCCTCTGGGCACAGAGCCCAGCCTGGGCCGCTCGTGCTATTGGGGTCAGGGATTCCTGGGGATTTGCTGTGATTCACCATATGCTGGTGGTGGAAATCCTGTCCAGCTGTTGCCTTCTGGGAGGGCACAGAAGGGACCCCCGCACTGCCCCAGTCACACCTGGAGATGGTTGCAGCTCCTGACTGGGTGCCTCCTCACCCCAACAGCATTGAGGCTTGCTGCCTGTCTTGGCCCTGCCGCTGGGATGGGGTTGGGGGCTCTGTGGGACCCAGCTGGCCATGGGGTAGGGGCACTTTGGGCACACCAGGTTATCTATGGGGACGCAGCAGGAAAATGAGGATGCCATGTCATGCCAGCTGCTGGCTGGGAGGGTACTGCCAGGAAGGTGTCTGTGGCTCTTCACAGGCACTGAGCTGTCTTCCCAGTTGTGATGGCCTATCAGGGTCTGTGCTGGTGCCCTGGCATCCATCTACCAGGGACCCACCAGCCCGACGTGCTCCTACCTTGCAGTGCCCCTGGCAGGATGGGGTGGGCAGTTGGAGAAGTGTGGGTGTGTGTGGCACTGTTTCTGGCAGAGCTGTGGTGCAGGATGTGGGCATAGTGCTGTGCTGTACTGGGACGCAAGCAGGGGGTACCCCAGGACCTCCATCCTGGTGATGCCCATGCTCCTCTCTGGTGATGGGGTCCTGGCCATGAGCATCACGGTCCACCTGCCTTGTGTCATCTGCAGTGGGTGCTGGCCTTCGAGATCTTCATCCCGCTGGTGCTCTTCTTCATCCTCCTGGGGCTGAGGCAGAAGAAGCCGACCATCCCTGTGAAGGAAGGTGCGTGTGAGCAGGTGGTGCCCAGGGCATCCACACCTGGGGGAAGGATGGGGACACGGGGGAGCTGTTCCAACCCCCTGGGACAGCCTGGGGCTGAGGAGGATGCTGACAGCTGGCAGGAATCTCTTGGAGTCTTTGGAGGGGGCAGTGTAGAGGAGGGCCTGCATACCAGGATGATGGGGTTAAAGACCAGAGGCATTCCCAACCAGGGGGGGGCTCCCCTGGGACCAGCCAGGCCCAAGCAGCCTCCAGATGCCATGAGCAGGGCATTTTTGTCTCTGCCTGGAGGCACTTCTCAGGCAGAGGGGTGGTGGAGCTGGGTGGTGCCAGGACAGCTGTGATACCCTGAGCTTCTAGGGAGCAGCTGGGGGGACTCCGGGAAGGGACAGGGGCTGTGCTCTGTGTGTAGCTCTGCACATGGCTGTGGAGGCTCAGAGGCTTGTGGGGCTGAGGCAAAGCCAGTGATGGATGGGGCAGGAACTCAAGGTGCCTTGGAGGTGTGCAGCTGGAGGTCGTGGGTTCATGCCACCAGGAGGAGGACTGTGTGGCAGCAAGATGCCTGGAGTTGGCCACCCGGGGGGCACAGCGGGGCCAGGCAAAGGTGCTGGGAGCCAGCAGCTGTATTCCTGCATGATGAAGCCTGAGCCTTTGTTTCAGTACATGCCAGCGAGGGAAAGCCCAACGGAGGGCAATGATAGGTGCTGCCTTGGTTCCTGCCTTGGTGCTGATGTGCACTCTGTGTTGTGTTTTTTGGTTTGTTTTTTTCTTTCTTTTCTCTCATGTTTTCTTTTTCTTTCCCACCATCATCCCTGCCTGCCTGCCCTCCATGCCTCTACTGCATGCTCCAGTCTGTAAGTTGGTTGGATGGGTGGGTACCTCTCCCCCTCCCCTGCCTTTGCCAGCCAGGAGTTTTGGGGAGACAGAACCCAATTGGGATCAGCTCACTGTGATCTAATCAGCACTTCTGTAACCTGTTGCCTTCCTCCCTGGCTGGTGAAGATGAACTTGAGCTGCTGTGCCCAGGGCCCCCCTGCTGCTGCCTGCAGAAGGTTTTTGTTACTAGCCCAGACTGAGGCTGGGTTCAGAGGGCACTTGGGGCCTCTGTGACCCTGGCAATTTGGGCTGTGCAGGGCTTCCCAGGCCAGGCAGATCTCTCCCCCATCTCTCCTGTGGCAAACCCTGCTTCCTGCAGACTCCAGTGCAGCTTGTGGTTGCCAGCTGTGCCTGTGCCCACCCCTGAAGCAGCCAGGCTGCAGGCAGTTCTGGTCCCCTGCCACCAGGTTCTTGTCCCAGCCTCTGAGCTCCAGGATGGAGCTGGGACATGGCACTGTTAGAAGGAGCGAGAAGGACAGTGAGATGCCACCTGAGTGATGCTCTTGTTACCTCTCTGTGGCATGGCTGCCAGCATGGGGCCTATCCAGCCTATGGCTTCATTCTCTGCCTGGCCCTGTCTGCCCTGAACTGGTCCTGTCTGTGCACTCAAGCCCATCTTCACCAGCCTTCCTGTCAAGGGCTGTGCTAACTGCACTGACCTGCCTCTAACTGGGGCACTGGGGGTGGGGCTCGCCCCTCTTGCAGGACCCCCATCCCTGCCAGGCTGCCCACTGACAGCCTTGGGTCCTCGTCAGGAGGCGTTGCTGGGCTTCTCCTGCCCAGAAAGAACTGGGGAAGGCTATGGCTGGTGAGGGCTCAGACCTGGTCAGGATGGGTGTTTGCTGTCTCCTTGCTGCTCCTTGTTTTCTCCATCTCCCCCCTTACTGTGTGTCCATTTCTCACCTCCAGCAGCCACGCATCGAGGCAGCCGGGTGGGGAGGAGGATGGGTCTCAAGGGGGCCTAGGGGTCTTGGGAAGTTCTGGGGGCCAATTCTTTCCTGTTGTATTCCTACTCTTTCTCTTCCTCTGGAAATCCAGCAGTGCCTCTGAGGTTACTAACAAGAGCAGCTGAGAGGCCGGGGAAGGTTGGCAGCACCTGGTGGGCAAGCATCAGAAGTCAGCATTGTCCTGGGGCCGGGTGGCCACTGCTACCCAGAGGGGAGCAAGCACGGGCTGTCGGGTGGGAGCTGAGTGGCCCTGGTGGCGGGCAGGAGCTGCCCCCAGCCCCAGGGAGCTGCTGGTGGGACAGCCTCAGTGGGCTGCAGACTTCTGAGCTTGGCTGCCCAACCTTCCCCTGGGCCTCACTAGATGCGGTGTGTGCTTCTTTCTAAACTGAGTGTCTGTCTCCCTGGTGGCCCCTGCCTGCCCTTGCCTCTCCTCCTTCCTGCCCCTGCCTTCCCTTGCCTCTTTGCACTCTTACTGGCTCCAGCTTTCTACACGGCGGCTCCGCTCACCTCGGCTGGGATCCTGCCTGTCATGCAGTCCCTGTGTCCTGACGGCCAGCGCGATGAGTTTGGCTTCCTGCAGTACTCCAACTCCACGTGAGTCGTGCCTTCCCATGCTCTTCTTGGTCCCCTACATGCTCATGCACATGCATGCTTGAATGCACACCTGTGCACAGCTTACCCGTTCTCACACTGGGGACATCCGACTGCATTTTGCACCAGAAGTTGCAGCAGTGTACATCCTCAGAAGAATTTGGGTGCAGAATGCCTTGTTCCCAGGGGGTGGGGGGCACCTTATCCCATTCATTTCCCTGCATTTGAAGTGACAGCATTTAGGGAAGAGGAAGGGGGTGGCCCTGGTGACACCTAGGACTACTGGCTCTGTCCCCTGCATCCCAGGCACCTGCATGGGTTTGACATGCAGCTGCATGGTGCACCTGAGGGACTCATCCCCACAGGCTGCGTCTGCCATACCTGATGCTGCACAGTACTCTGCTCCCTGCAGGGTGACGCAGCTCCTGGAGCACCTCAGCGAGGTGGTGGAGCAGAGCAACTTGTTTGACCCGGAGCACCCAGGCCTGGAGGAGGAGCTGGAGTCCCTGCGTCGGCGCCTGGAGGCCCTCAGCAGCAGCGAGCCCAGCTCCATGGAGACCCACTTCAGCAGCCAGGCAGGTCAGTAGGAGGGTCCCTGCAGTGGGCGCCCAGCGACATGGCAGTGCCCAGCCACAGGCCTTCGTGGCAGGGCTAGCTCTGAGATGTCCCTTTGTGGGGCTGGGCCACGTCCTGGCTGCTCATGGGCTGCTCTCACCCCCCTGCTTTGCTTCTTGACAGGATCTGGTTTCACACTGGAGTGGGCAGCTAAGGACCGGGGGGAACTGCACCGCTTCCTCACACAGAACTTGTCCCTCCCCAATGGCACAGCCGAGCTCCTCCTGGGCTCCAGCGTTGACCTGCGGGAGGTGGGTGACAGTGTGGGGTTTGCTGAGCTCAGTGCTGCAGTAGCTGGTGGGCGCATCCTGGCCCCAGACTGAGCCCTGGCTGCCAGACCTGTGGGACTCCCGCTGTCCTGCCCTGTGGTCCCATTCACCCGATGTTGGGGCACTGCTGGCAGTGGGGTCCCTCTGCTGTCGGCATGCTCAGCAACCCTGTTCCTGTCCCTGGTATAGGTGTACCGCCTGCTGTTTGGGGCCTCTCCTTTGGCACCTGATGACACCCATGAGCGAGACTTGTGGGATCGGTTTGGACACAGTGAGAAGATGGCACAGCTGGAGGTGAGAAGCATGCAGGGATGTGGCAGAGCCAAGCTCATCCTCCACATCCCCTCTGCTATGCATGCAGAGTTGTCTGAAGTTATCCGTCTTAGTAGGGACCGTCAGGTGGCCAGAGTGGCAGTAGGGTCACCAGGGTTTCATCCTGGTGCTGCCACTGATCCCTCAAGGCAGGCTGATGCCAGTGCCTTTATTTCCTGTGGCAAAGGGTGGTGGCACTGTCAGGAGAGGAGGAGAAAATCATTACCCCTGTGGCCCCAGGTGCCCTTGGCTATGGGGACAGAGCCCTGTGACATGCCAGGGATGGTGCTCTCCCAGGTCTGCATGTTGCTGTTGTCCCCACTGTGGACATGGGTGCTGCAGGGGCATTCATGTGTGCTTGGGATGGAGGGGGCACTGCGGAGCTCCCGTGCACCCGGGGAGCCCCCACACCCCTATCTACCCCCATTGGTCCTCTTGCAGAAGAGCCTCCCCAGTGGCTGGAAGAGCCTGCAGGAGGGGCTGGTCCACAGGGCCCTGCGCGACCCCTCTGCAGCCCTGCAGCGGCCGGCACTGCTCCGCCTGCTGTCCCAGGCCCTGGGCCTCGCCAGTGCTGCCGCAGCCCCCGCTGGCTCCTACAGTCCCCAGGCCTTTGTTGCTGAGATGGAGGTGAGCAGCCAGCCGCGGCGAGCCATGCTCTGTGGGGTGGGCACAGCCGTGGTGCTTCCACCCCCCCGGATGGCTCAGCCATGCTCCCCTCTCTACAGCGCATCCTCTTCACGGCACCGGTTCTGGAGCAGCTGACGTGTGAGCAGAGCTTGGGGACGCTGCGCCGCCTCCTGCGTGTGGCTCCCAGCCAGCAGCCGCTGCTGCAGGCGTACCGCGTGCTGGCATGCAATGGCAGCCGGGCAGCCCGCGAGGAGCGCTTTGCTCAGCTGGCTGCTGAGCTGCGGGACCAGATGGACACCCCCAAGATTGTCAGCAGGGTGAGCGCGGGGCCGGGCCTGGGGTCATGGGATGGGTGGTGGGGCAGGGCTGTCCCAGACTACTGTTCTCCAACCACCGGGGGCTGTGCGGGGACCCTTGGCCGGCCCAGGTTTTGAGATGTACTTCAGTGTATGTCTTGGCCTGCCCTTAGCCTGCAGGAGCCGTTTCCCCTGCCTGGTCCCAATGCCTGCTGGCTCCAGGGGCACCGCAGCTGATGTCCCCCTCTGGGCACTTAATTCGGCACTGTTGGATGTGGTATCCCCACCATCCTCCCTGCTTGTCCCTCCTGCAGGGCCTACCCAAGGTTCCCTGGGAGTGGCAGTGCCATCAGTGAGCTGTGCACTCCTTAAAGCTGTCTCTGAGGTCCCCCTCCTCGTCCATCCTTGTCTAATGGATGTCTCATATGTCCCTAGCAAGGTCCTGCCAGCATTTGGCCATGTTCCTGATGCCTTGATTGCTGCAGGTGTGCTGTGATGAGTCCTGGACACAGCTCCAGCCTTCTAAGCAAGAAAGGGGACACGGCATCACTTGGGGCCCCCTCCCTCCTGGCAGCAGGCAGGCAGGGTTACCCCAGCCACATGTAACCCCTTGTCCTCTTGTCCTCGCAGCTGCAGCTGGATGAGGTGAACAGCACAGCAGCCCAGCACCGGCTCCGCACCCTCCTGGAGGACCTCGTGGAGATGGAGAAGGTTCTCCGTGACATGGACATCCTCTCAGCACTGGCCAGACTCCTGCCCAGGGGGGCCTGTGCCACCAAGGCCCCGCTGCCCACGGCCAACAGCACTGGCTGGGCCAGCGCCAACGCCACTGCCAGCAACACCACGATGGAGGAGGAGGGTGCTGGGGGGGACCCGGCGGGCGGCGATAACCCCCAGGGGCAGTTCTCAGCCTTTGTGCAGCTCTGGGCTGGGCTGCAGCCCATCCTCTGCGGCAACAACCGGTAGGAGTTCTGGGAGGAGAATGGGACCAGGGGCCTAGGTGCTCCTGCCGTGGGGCTCGGTGAGGGAAGCCCCTTCTGCCCCTGCCGAGAGCGAAGGAACCTCATAGCGTGCAGGAGCTGGTGCTGCACCATGTCCTCATGCCATAGCTGGGGGAAGTTCTGGGGAAGCCCTGGGCAGGGATTGCCCTCAGTGAGGGTGTGGGGCTGGTGTGGGGTTTGCAGTTTGGGCTGTGTTTGCAGGACCATTGAACCTGAGGCACTGAAGCAGGGCAACATGAGCTCTCTGGGCTTCACCAGCAAGGAGCAGCGAAACCTGGGCCTCCTCGTGCATCTTATGACCAGCAATCCCAAAATCCTATATGCGCCTGTGGGTACTGAAGTGGACAAAGTCATCCTGAAGGTGAGGGCGCAGGGGCCAGGTGCCTATCCATCCCCATGCGCCAGCCCTGCTGGATGGGCTTTGTGAGACGGGCACTGTGTGATGGTAGGGCTGAGCAGGAGGAGTCTGACAGCTGCCAGCCAGTGCCTGCAGGGTGGGCAGGGACCTCATGGCTGCTGGGTATGCTGCAGCAGCGACATGGGCAGTGGGCAGCCCTGCCTCCTCCCGCTGCATCACTTCCCTCCCGCAGGCCAACGAGACCTTTGCCTTTGTGGGCAATGTCACCCACTATGCCAAGGTGTGGTTGAACATTTCCCCCGAGATCCGAGCCTACCTGGAGGAGGGGAGACTGCAGAGACGCATCCGCTGGCTGCAGCAGGTAGGGTGGTGCTGGGACTGAGCCTGCCTTGTTTTGCCCCAGGGGCAGAAAGGAGATGTCGTGTCCTCAGGCACCATCTGCTTCTGTATGTGAGGTCTCCTGGGTGCCCAGCCTGCCTTGGCGAGGACCAGGCTGTCTCCCTGCTCAGATTGGGTGCTGTCCTGCCATCCCCAGAAGGAGCACTGAGAAGTGTTGGTCCCATCTCTGTCCACAAGGGGGGCAGTGGTGAATGGCAGGGGTACTCCAACCTCCCTCTCTCATCTCTTCCACCCTGTTCCAGTTCACTGCTGACATCCACAAGCACCCAGAGATTCTGAACATCTCCGACAATGACCTTCTGCACAGCTTTTTCAATGGCAACTTCTCCTTGCCCAACGCCAGTGTCCTGCTCCAGCAGCTGGACACCATTGATAATGCTGCCTGCGGCTGGGTCCACTTCATGGCCAAGGTGAGGCTGCACCCATCTGTGGGCACACAGGCACTTGGAGCAGCACCTGTCACCCCTGGGTGTACTCTGTAGAGCCCAAGAGGGCTCAAGTCTGCTCAGACGTCCCTCAGGCTACAGGCTGGGAAAACTGGAGGGGATGGTGGCCAGGAGCTTGAGGTGGGGATTTCAATGGCAGGTGCCCATCCTTTTGGGTTGAGGAGCTTGTGCAACCACTGATGATGGCACACGCCATAGTGTACGTATGGGATCCATGACCAGACCTATGAGGGGCAGTGGGATCTTACTGGCCTTCCCATCCCTCCAGGTCAGCGTGGACATCTTCAAGGGCTTCCCAGATGAGGAGAGCATCGTCAACTACACGCTAAACCAGGCCTACCAGGACAATGTCACAGTCTTTGCCAGTACGTCCCTGGGAACTAGCTCCTATACAGGAGTCCTCAAAACCATGTCCAAAGCTGTGCCCTAGGCCTGGGGCCACTGGCTCTGGGATGTTGGCTGCCTCAGTCTGTGTGTTGGGTGAATGAATGACTCAAGCATGCCAGCTCTCTTCACTTACTGTTCCTCTGTGCTGTGTCTTGATCCTGGCCACTGTCCTGGCTCACCAAGGGTGCCTGCAGTCATAGTGGCCCAGCATCCCATGCCAGGGCCATCCTTGGCCATCATAGCCCTTGTCTTGCTCTGTGCAGAGACATACTGAGCCCTGGAACTTGGTCCCCACTGTGTCCCTGCCCATCACTGCAAGCTGGTGCCATCAGGGTCTCTGCCTTTCTGCTGCCCACAGGTGTGATCTTCCAGACCAACAAGGATGGCTCACTGCCCCCACATGTCATGTATAAGATCCGGCAGAATTCCAGCTTCACTGAGAAGACCAACGAGATCCGGCGGGCATACTGGCGGCCTGGTCCCAACACTGGCGGCCGTTTCTATTTCCTCTATGGCTTTGTCTGGATCCAGGGTGAGTGCCAGCTGCCTGTGCCCCTCAGCCCCTGCCTGTGCCACCCGCTCAGCCTGGCCTCCCCTCCTCCCTAGACATGATGGAGCGTGCCCTCATCAACACGTTCGTTGGCCATGATGTGGTGGAACCTGGAAACTACGTGCAGATGTTCCCATATCCATGTTACACGCGGGATGAGTGAGTAACATTTATCTGGGCGAGGAAGGGCAGGGGCATGACCTTCCCTTGTCTCATCAAGCAGTCCAAATTGGTTGGGACACTTCAGCTGGGAAACAGAGACAAGTCTGGGGGCCTGAGAGAGGCTGCTGCCACTGGGAATGATGGGCAACCAGTTACACTGTGTCTTGAACTCCCATGCCAAGCAAATGGGGAAAGATTTTTTTCCCCAGTTCATAGTTCAAATGATTTCATAGTTCAATAGTTCATGGCTACAGGGCATCTCAGGGGTTGCAATACTCAAGAAGAACAAAGAGAAGTGTAGTAAATGGGTGACACATGGATCTGTCAGCGGTTATTGAACACAGTGATCTAAATGAAGCACTGAGAAGTCCCAAACCTGCAGGGCAGGAAGGTGCTAGGGTCCCTGTCCACACCAGGGTAAGCAGGGCACTGGGATAGCCTGTACAGTGCTGCAGGCCTGGCTGCTGGAACCTGAAGGCCTGCACAGAAGGTGTTCCACATTAGAGGAGCTCTGAGAAATGTTTTCTCCTCCTGTATCTCAGTTTTCTCAATTATCAAATGGAGATGGGAGCAGTAGCTAGCAGGTCACTGAGGAGCTGCTGAGGGCTGTAGTAGTCCCTGGTGGCAGTAGAGCCCCTCCACTGCCTGGTGGCCTGTTCTTAGAGTCTTCCCAGGCTCCAGTTCTCTCTTCTCTTCTTATACTCCACCAGCTTTCTCTTCGTCATTGAGCATATGATGCCCCTGTGCATGGTGATCTCTTGGGTCTACTCAGTGGCCATGATGATCCAGCATATTGTGACAGAGAAGGAACATCGCCTGAAAGAGGTGGGGATGGTGGATGAAATCCCTGGGGATGAGCTGGTATCTTCCATGCCTGCCTGCCTAGGGCATCCCAGGCACAGAAACTTGTGCCAAGTTGTGCCCTGTTGCCAAGTTGCCCCCTGTATCATCCCATAGCAGTTCTTAGACAGCAGCAGCCTGGAGTCCTGCCTGATAAGGGGAGAGCTCTACAGCCATCAAAAGTGTGTTCCAGCTGCTAGGCACAGTGCCAGGCTGAGCTGGCCAGTATCTCAGGGAACCACCTTCAGCAGCCAGGGCAGCCTGCAGGAGAGCACTGACCCCAGCTCAGCCCAGAGCCCCATTGCAGCACATCCTGCCATGAGCTGAGGCACTCAGCCCAGTGCTGCTGGGATAGGGATACCCACTGCAGGACCCTCGGCTCCCTCTGCACTATTGGTGCCCCAGGCACAGATCTTACCTCCCACGGCTCTGCTACAGCTCATCTCTTTGCAGAGCTGGTTCTCCTAAGCATCCCTGATGCAAGCCCTGGGCAATACTGCAGGGAATGGAGCCTGTAAGCAGACAGACCCTGGCTCCTCAGTGCTGCCCTTAGCCCTCCTAGTCCCAGAGAGTGAAGGGCTGGGGGATGTGTGGACAGGGGACAGACTCAGTAAGCAGTGTCGGCCTTGCAGGTGATGAAGATGATGGGCTTGAACAATGCAGTGCATTGGGTGGCTTGGTTCATCACCGGCTTTGTCCAGCTCTCCATCTCAGTCACGGCACTCACCGCCATCCTGAAGTATGGCAAGGTCCTGATGCACAGCGACGTCCTCATCATCTGGCTCTTTCTTGCCATCTACGCTGTGGCAACCATCATGTTCTGGTGAGCTGCCAGGCTCCCTCAGTGGGCTCAGGGGCCACCAGCAGTGCCAGGTCCCTGGCAGAATGTCCTTGTGCTATGGGGTGAGGGTGCTGGGAGCCCTGTGGTAAGGGCTGGTGGAGGGACACCCCAACCAGGCGATTTGAGGGGTGCTTTTATCACCTCAACACCAACAGAATCAGTGTGGGGAATACCCTGGTGGGGCAGGATCCTGGGATGGGTGCTGGAGGGTTCTTCCATCCTTGGCAGGGGCAGCTCAACCCTCTCATCCCCAGTCAAAGGGTGGTGCTGGGTCCAATCAGATCCTCGGGGTTGTAGGGTGACCTCTGCCTTGCTGTGGGGCTGGCAAGGTGACACTGTCCTCTCTGCAGTTTCCTGGTATCGGTGCTCTACTCCAAAGCCAAGCTGGCTTCTGCCTGCGGTGGCATCATCTATTTCCTCAGTTACGTGCCCTACATGTATGTGGCCATCCGGGAGGAAGTGGCTCATGACAAGATCACAGCATTTGAGAAGTGCATCGCGGTGAGTTGGGTGCAGCTGTCAGGAGGTGCCTGGACCAGAATTTGCCTCAGGTACCCTGTGTTCCCTGCATAGCTACCACAAAGTCTTGGGCCCCCCACATCTCACAGATGGGCCACCAAACTGTAGGCAAATCTGTGCCCATGTGAACTGGCTCTCCACGGGACTTTGGAGGCATCTCCAGAAGGTCTGGTGCCTCCCAGGTTGGGAAGCGTCTCCATGGGTTTGGGTGGGGCAGAGCTAGATGGGAATTTACTCCAGAGTTGGCATGTGGCTTCTGCTGATGTGCCCCATCCTCCTCCCTGCAGTCTCTCATGTCTACCACGGCATTTGGGCTGGGCTCCAAGTACTTTGCACTGTACGAAGTGGCTGGTGTGGGCATCCAGTGGCACACTTTCAGCCAATCGCCTGTGGAAGGAGATGACTTCAACCTCATGCTGTCCATGATGATGCTGATCATTGATGCCGTGGTGTACGGGGTGCTCACATGGTACATTGAGGCTGTGCACCCAGGTACGTGCAGTCAGGGGCAGCATTGGAGCACCTCCTCACTGGGGATGCTGTTGTTTCCTGCCTGATCTCAGCCCTGATACAACCAGATTAAGCCCAATGTGCCTCTGTGGTTCCCTGCCTGTGTCCTCTTGGGGGCACCTGCACACATGCCCTCACCCACTGGGAACTCCTCTGTCCCTGACAGTTTGCTAGGAGATCTTCAGTCATGTTTTGGGTGGTTCTGAGTGCAACCAGGAGTTGGACTCGATGGTCCTTGTGGATAGAATAGTCTGTGGTTCTGTGTGTCTCAGTTTACTGTCCAACTGGAGCAAAATATGGCGTACACAGTTGGAGCATTACTCCCTCTCATTGCCTGTTTGAGAAGGAGTCCTGGCTGCTGTGATTTTCTAGTAAAACTGAAGCATTAGGCAGGCCCAGTTTTACTTTGTTTCATTGCACAACCCAGCAGCATTTCCCTGAGTGCTGGCAGACTATCCTGCGGTGCTGTTCCTGAGCCAGGGAGATGTCCCTGCTCATCCCCGTGACTCTCTGCTCCAGCCCTCGGCCAGCTCCTGCTTGGACATGCTGCAGGGGTGGCCCTGACTGCACAGGGTTGTGCTTGCAGGCATGTTCGGCCTGCCGCGGCCCTGGTACTTCCCCTTCCAGAAGTCCTACTGGCTGGGCAACGGGCGAGTGGAGACCTGGGAGTGGACGTGGCCCTGGTCCCGCACCACACGCCTCAGCGTCATGGAGGAGGATCAGGCCTGTGCCATGGAGAGCAGGAGGCTGGGTGAGCTGGCAGGCAGGGGTGGTGGCCAGGCTCTAGGGCTCGGCCCCTGTTGTGGGCATGCAGCCTGTGCATCCCACGTGCTGCATAGCTGGGGGCTGCTGCCCACAGCTCAGAGCAGGAAGGGCCAGGAGCTGGCATGGCCACTCCAGGATGGAGCTGGGGAGATTCACCCCCAGGAACCCTGTGCACTGTGCAGCTCTGACTCCTCACTGCCCTGCTTTCATGACAGAAGAGACACGGGGCATCGAGGAGGAGCCGACTCACCTCCCCTTGGTTGTCTGCATTGACAAGCTCACCAAGGTCTACAAAACTGACAAGAAGCTGGCACTGAACAAGCTGAGCCTCAACCTCTATGAGAACCAAGTGGTGTCCTTCCTGGGGCACAACGGTGCAGGCAAAACCACCACCATGTGAGTTCCAACCATGGGCTATGTCCTTCTGGTCAGTGATGAGTTGGGAAGGTGCCACATAGCGATCCTCACTGGGCTCTGTGGCTGATGCTGTGCCCAGAAGGAGGTGGTGTGGGTGTGAGAGTGGTACAGAAGGAGAACAGGTGGCCAACGCAAGGCCCTGCACTGGTACTGCTCTGCCAGGGCCCAGCAGATACTCTGGGAAGTGGAGATTGGGATTGAAGACAGAGGAAGGCAGGAAAGGTTCCTCACTATATTCTTTTCTCCGTCCATCCAGGTCCATCCTGACTGGCTTATTCCCACCGACCTCAGGCTCAGCTACCATCTATGGTCATGATATCCGGACAGAGATGGATGAGATCCGGAAAAACTTGGGCATGTGTCCCCAGCACAACGTGCTCTTCGACAGACTGACAGTGGAAGAGCACCTCTGGTTCTACTCACAGCTCAAGAGCATGGCAGAAGAGGAGATCCGCAAGGAGATGGACAAGTAGGCACCCCCAGCTCCTTTTGCCCACACCTGTACCTTTTGCGGAAGCAGGTTCTGCTCTTTTGGCTGTGCCTGTGGGGACTTGTCTGGGAGCAGGAATCACCCCTGCTACAGGGGTGATTTTGGAAGTTTTTTTGGAAACTTGGAGTATTGGGCTGGCATAAGTTCCTTTCATAGCCTGGCTGTAGCTGGGCTGCCCTGACTGCAAAGAGCCACAGGTGCTGGGTGGGAAAGTAAGGTGACGTGCCCCCCGCAGGCACAGGTCAGCCCTAGCAGCCTGCTGCTTCTGTCCCTGTTCCCAGGATGATTGAGGACCTGGAGCTCTCCAACAAACGCCATTCCTTAGTGCAGACCCTCTCAGGGGGCATGAAGAGAAAACTGTCAGTGGCCATCGCCTTTGTGGGTGGGTCGCGGGCTGTGATCCTGGATGAGCCCACAGCTGGAGTTGACCCATATGCACGCAGAGCCATCTGGGACCTCATCCTCAAGTACAAGCCAGGTGAGCAGGGAAGAGCAGAGCCATGCATGGGGCAGAAAACTGAGCCTAGGCTTAAGAATGGAGGGAAAACCCCTCACTGTCCTCCTAAGAGGGACCAGATGCACCTCTCCTGGCTCCCAGCACAAGCTGTGGCATGGCTTCTCCCTACATCTGTCTCTATGTGGTGACTGACCTAGGGGTCCCTGTGAGACCCTTGGGGAATCAGCCAGCTGCATGCCCTCATTCCCCACACATCCAGACAGCATGCCATGCCAAAGCAGTGCCTGTTAGGGCAGGCAGTGGCTGCAGCAGCCCTAGCACAACCCCACACCCTCTCCTAACACTCTGTGCCACAGGGAGGACCATCCTGCTGTCCACCCATCACATGGATGAGGCTGATTTGCTGGGCGACCGCATTGCCATCATCTCCCATGGCAAGCTCAAGTGCTGCGGCTCCCCACTCTTCCTCAAGAGTACCTATGGAGATGGCTACAAGCTGACGGTGGTAAAGAGGCAGTCGGACACCAGGAACAGTACAGGTCTGTGGGCCCAGCAAGACCAATGGTTTGGAGCATCAGTAGATGGGACCAGCCCTTTTTGTGTCCAGGAAAGCAGCAAGAAGTCAAAACCCAAATACGCCCACCCCAAGTCTCCATAGGCCACATGGAGGGCACAGCAGGACAGGACAGTGATGCAGGAGGTGGCACTGCCCAGCCCTGGTTTCTCCCTCTGGGTCCCCAGTTAAACCCTGCGTGGAGGTGTTGCCCCCAGGTTCTGGTCCTTGTCCAGGCTAGGGGCTGCCTGCTGATGCCCAGTATGGGCAGTGGTGTCCTGTGGGACTCAGGAGCAGATGGCACAGCCAGAAAGTCACCAGCACCCTGTGATCAGTGCAGAAGGATCCCTCAAGGCACTGGGATAGCATGGGCAGGGAGAGGTGGTCCTGGTAGAAGGCCAGATGAGGAGTGACCAGTGCTGCCCCTCTGCCACAGAATCCGGCCAGCCCCACAGTCCTCCAGGCCACTCCTCCGTCAGCCCCTGCTCTGAGCCCCGCGTCTCTCAGTTCATCAAGAAGTATGTGGCCTCCTGCCTCCTCATCTCAGATACCAACACCGAGCTCTCCTATATCCTGCCCAGTGAGGCCGTCAAGAAGGGCTGCTTCGAGAGGCTCTTCCAGGTACACAAGCCACACACAGCTTCACCACCACCTTGCTGGCACAAGGATGGGGTCAGTGTTGAGGGGCGGGATGAGCCCAGTGGGCACAGCACCCTGTGAGACATGGGGAAAATGTGCACGTGAGCATGTGTGTGAGGGGCAGGACACAGTGCTGGGTCTGGTCCAGCTCTGTTAAAGAGCATCGCCTGTACGTGCTGACAGCAGCTGGTGTGGGGCAGGGATCCCACCTGGCACTGGCATTTGTGAGGAGTTGTGGTGGTGCTGGAGCCTCCTGCCTTCTTCATTTTCCCTTCCTCAGCACTTGGAGCAGAGCCTGGAGGAGCTAGACCTCACCAGTTTTGGGCTGATGGATACCACGCTCGAGGAGGTCTTCCTGAAAGTATCTGAGGAAGACCAGTCCCTAGAGAACAGTGATGTGGGTACGGCCTGCAGGGAGCTTGTGGTGATGCTTCTGGCAGGGGGACGTGGGTGTGAGGTGAAGGCATCGTGTGCCTTCACGTGGGCCGTCCCAGCTAAGGGCTGCCTTCCATTTGTGAAGCAGATCTGCTGGGTGAGGCATAGCAAAGGCTGCCACAGCCAGCAGCAGCTCTCCTTCTTCCAGACATGAAGGAGTCCAAGAAGGATGCTCTGCAGCCGCCCGTCCCTGAGCTGGGCCCGAAGCCAGAGGCCAACAGGGAGCCCCTGGCGGAGATGGACGTACCTGAGAAACCCGAGGTGGAGCTCAGCAACCTGGTGACCTGCTCCAAGCTAGCGCAGTCACAGGCATCCCTGCGCTCAGTCTCCTCAGTGGGCTCCGTACGGGGTGACGAAGGTGGGGCTTATTCCGAGTTCTTTGGGGATTACTCTCCGTTGTTTGACAATCGTCAGGACCCTGATAACATCAGTCTGCAAGGTTCGTAGTACTGTGCAGCAGTGCTGCTTGTGCACCGTGATGGAGGTGCTTTGGGATGGGGAGGGTGGCTGCTCCGAGGCTGGAGCGGAGCTGGCTCTCTGAGGGATGTGGTGCCTGGTGCACTGGAGATTGAGACCATGCTGGCTCAGCTGAGCCCCATGGAGCTGAGCCTGTGTTCCAACAGATGATGTATCCAGGGAGCCTGAGCAGAGAAAGAGAAGGGGAGGTGCAGAGCCTGCAGCCTGAGGAGAGGGCCAGGGGGGATGGCTGGAAACTGATGCTTCTAGCCAGAGTTTATGCCTCTGAGCTGATGGGCCCCGTGCTGAGGCATGGAGCTGGCAGGCTCATGGGCAGGTGGTGGCAGGCCGGCATTAGCCCTTCCTTTTGTCTCTCTTGAATCCTGACCTGCTGACCTGCACACTCACTCACTAACATGCTGCTTGCACTCGTGGCCGCTGGGGGAGCGGCAGTGTCCGGCACAGGGCACGCTGACCCCATGGCTGAGCTGCTGAGTTTCTCCTCTTGGCCCTCCAGGGTGGAGTTGTCTTACAGAGAGTGACTTTGCCCTCCAGCCCCAGGCACAGGTTCAAGGCCATCCCTGCCCGGATGCTCAAATTGCACAAGCACAGTGTGCAGACAGAAGCCAAAAGGCAACTGTTTTATTTACAAATCCTTTTCTGGGTTATCCCACCAGTTCTTGTCATGATTAATTTATTGCTGTGACACTCTCCCTCCCCTGCCGGGGCTGCAGATTGCTCTGAGCGTTGCTGAATTTGGGTCAGTGGTAGGTAGAGCAGCAGCAGTGTGGCACTGCAGCTGGGCTCCTCGGGTCCCAGCTCTGTGCTCACTGGGTCCCTACACGTGTGACCTGTTGCCACTCTTCCTGATCGGTGCTAAACCACTCTGGGCTGGCTGCAGCCAGTGGGAAGATGGAGGGGTACTGCCAAAAGTTTTTTAAAAACTATTGTCACAGTTTCCCATTTTGGGCCAAGAGAAACCCGCCAGCCAGCCGCCTTGCTTCACGCCATGGTCGTTCCGTGGCTCAGTGGCCCATCGGGTTGGCTGCACCCAGTTCAGTGCCACGGGCAACTGCCAGCCAGGGCAGGTGCGGGACCCCTGGGCTCACAGCCTCCTCTTTGCTGTCCCCTCATTGCAGACCAAGAGGCTGATGTGGAGGCGGAGGACCACGACCTGGCTGGGCAGGGGAGCTTCAAGCTGGAGGGCTCATGGCTGAAGCTGCGCCAGTTCCACGGACTGATCGTCAAACGCTTCCACTGTGCCAAGCGTAACACCAAGGCCCTCTTCTCTCAGATCCTCCTGCCTGCCTTCTTTGTCTGCGTGGCCATGACTGTGGCACTCTCTGTGCCTGAAATAGGTACCTGTGAGCCCTCGTCCCAGTGAGTTTGCGAGGACATGGGGGTGTTCGTCTCATTCCCTTTCTAGGGCCCAAGCTCGTGCCTAAGCCCCAGGCTGGGTGTTCACCCTCCTCTGCATTAGCAGCAGCTTGGAGGGAGAGTATGCGTCCCACTCTGCTGCCCCCACAGCAGCTGGGTCTCACTGACCTTCCCTCTCCTACCTGCCCAGTGTGGCCAGCAGTGATGCTGAAGGGGAAGAGAAGGGACAAGGCCAAGGCCTGAGCGTGTTTGGCCAGCAGGCCTGTGAGTGTGGGTGCAGAGGCTGCAAGCAGATTCCTGTCCTTATTTCCACAGGTGACCTGCCACCCCTCATCCTCTCCCCCTCGCAGTACCACAACTACACCCAGCCCAAGGGCAATTTCATTCCTTACGCCAACGAGGAACGGCGTGAGTACCGGTGAGAGCAGCATCCTCAACCCGACCCTGTTCCCAGAACCTCCATGGGGTGAGGGGAGGGCAGCTCACAGCAGGTCTGGTGCTGGAGCTGGTTTGGGCTCAAAGCAGAGTTTGGCCAACACAGTGTCCCCATGCACAGTGTCCTCCATCCTCCTCTAAGGAGAGGTGCCAGCCCTGATGCTGATGGTGAGCAGCAGCTTGGTTCTTGCCAGGCCTGGGCTGAGTGGGTACCCAGGGCTGTACAGGTGCCTGTGCCCCTTCAGCCACTGCATGTACTGAGGCCAAAGGGACTTGTCCAGGAAAAGATGGCCAAGGTGGGAATTCCCCTGTTTTGTTTCTTGTTACTCCTGATGTGCTCCTTTCCCTGCAGCCTCAGGCTGTCTCCTGACGCTAGCCCACAGCAGCTGGTGAACACCTTCCACCTGCCCTCTGGTGTGGGGGCCACCTGTGTGCTCAAGACAGCCTTCAACAACACATTGGACCAGCCCATGCAGACCCTGAACCTCAACAGCAACGAGTCCAAGATGCTGGCAGCCAAGTACTTTGATGCTATGTGCATTGACTCCTTCACCCAGGGCCTGCCACTCTCCAACTTCGTGCCACCACCTCCATCCCCAGCACCTTCTGACTACCCTGTCTCAATGGATGAAGACCTGCTGCGTGCTTGGAACTCCACAATCTTTTCTACCATCAAAGGTATCACCTGCATCTGGTGTGTGGGTCTGTCTGGGCTGAGAATTCATCTCCAGGTGGGGCAGTGTGTCTTCCTGCAGGAGCAGCTCCAAGTGCCAGTCAGGTGCAGCTCGCCTTGGCCATGGTAGAGCATTGCTTGGCTGCACTCCTGGTTCGGGGCGGTGCTGGCCCCACTGCACTGCTCCCTGTCAGCTGCAGCAGTCCTGGTGGAGCTCACAGGACTGGTGACACCATTGAGAGTCTTGTGGCTGGGATTGCTGGGCTGGGTGCTTTATCCCCAGCCAGTGAAATGGTTGCACTGCTTATTCCAGACACACTTCACACTCTGTCTCTGAACCATTTCTGTAACCTGTTTGCTCCAATTTTTTTTTCCATATCCATCCTCTGGCCCCTCTATCACTGGGGAACAAGAGGCCACTCAAAGTCTAGGCTCTGGCCAGTGGGAATCAGTATGAAGGGAGCAGGAATATCCCTGTCTGCCTTGCTGGACCCCTTGGCTGAGCCTGCAGGGAGTCACTCCGTGTGCCTCTCTCGTCCTGGCTTCCCTGTGCCACCCCGCAGCCTGGCTGTGAGCTGCCTCCTCTACTCCACAGAGACTGTCACCTCTGCTCCCTCCCTGCCCCGCATCATCCATGAGCCCATCAAGTGCACGTGCTCCATGCAAGGGACTGGCTTCTCCTGCCCCAGTGGCGTGGGGGGCCACCCACCGCAGATGAAGGTGGTGACGGGGGACATCCTGGCAGACATCACAGGGCGCAATGTTTCTGAGTACCTGCTCTACACCTCGGACCGCTTCCGGCTGCACAGGCAAGAGAGAGGCTGGGGGTCCCACCCAGCACCGTGCCACAGGAGTGGGGCCCTCATGGGCACTGACAGGTGCCAGGGGTGCAGTCAAGTGTGGCCCTGCTCCTGAGCACAGGGGACAGCAGTCACTCTTTGGACTTGCTTTGTCCTACAGGTACGGAGCACTCACCTTTGGTAACGTCCAGAAATCCATCCCAGCTTCCTTTGGGGCCAGAGCTCCTGCCATGGTGCGCAAGATTGCAGTCCGAAGAACAGCCCAGGTAGGAGCATGCTGAGCCCCAGGGCAGCCAGTAGGTGGGTAGATGGCAGCAGCCCCAGCGTGATGGGAAGGAGGAGGGCAGCACCGCCTGCACAGCAGGGCCTGCTCATCAGCTGCTCTACAGTCATGCTTTCCACCAAGGGGTCTGTCAGGGGTCTCTCTCCGTGGAGCACTTTGCAGCGCTCCCATCACATTGGATCAGACCCACTGGGTCAGCAGTGGCCTGCTTTCCTCACAGCCAAGAACAGAGGAGTACCCTGTAGCCATCCCACCCCACCTCATCCCGTCCTGCATATCTGGCCTTGCCCAGCTCCTGCTGCCTCCCACCACTCTTCTCTGCTCTTCCAGGTCTTCTACAACAACAAGGGCTACCACAGCATGCCCACCTACCTCAACGCTCTCAACAACGCCATCCTGCGAGCCAACCTGCCCAAGAGCAAAGGCAACCCTGCTGCCTATGGTGAGAGCCTGAAGGGTTTTTAAGACAGAAGTACATCAGGAACAGCTGAGGACATGGCCCAACAAAATCCTGATCTAAAGTGCAGTGTTTCCCCTTGCTAGCTAATGCCCACCTGGGGTAGGGGCTCACTCTCCTTGGTTATATGTAGCTTGAGGTCTGGACTTGGCAGGTTCTGGCTGGGGCAGTGCCTCCCGGGCTTGCAGACTTGTCTGAAGGATGCTGTCTGCCAGTTAGTGAGAGGGAGGGTTCAGCCCCAAAGTGCTGCACTGCTTCTGGGCTGCAAGGAAGGAAACTCATCCTGCTGAGAACCAGGACCACACAGGCTGGAGCTGTGGCAACATTTTCTCTCCCAAGCCAGCTTTCACACCCTGACATTTCTTTTTCCTGCAGGCATCACAGTCACCAACCATCCCATGAACAAGACCAGCGCCAGCCTGTCCCTGGATTACCTGTACGTGTGGGGAGCTGGTTCATGGGAGAGTGGCCATTATGTAGAATGGGAAGGAGCTCCCTGCTGTGGTTTGCAGGGGAAAGCTGAGGGTTCTGCTGTGCACTCACCATGGGGAGGGAGTGGGAGGCTGTGACATGGCAGTCCCTGTTCTGTGTACAGAGGCTGTCTCACACTAGGGTGGGCAGCTGAGGATGATGGTGTCTCTGCTCTTCTCCTTGCTCCTGATGCAGCCTGCAAGGCACGGATGTGGTGATTGCCATCTTCATCATCGTGGCCATGTCCTTTGTGCCGGCCAGCTTTGTGGTGTTCCTGGTGGCTGAGAAGGCCACCAAGGCCAAACACCTGCAGTTTGTGAGCGGCTGCGACCCTGTCATCTACTGGCTGGCCAACTATGTGTGGGATATGGTGAGTGGGGCACATGACCTCAGTGTTGATCCCCCTGGGCTGAATGGGCAGGCAGTCACTGAAGGTTCTGTCCTCTCCAGCTGAACTACCTGGTGCCAGCCACATGCTGTATCATTATCCTGTTCGTGTTTGACCTCCCGGCATACACCTCTCCCACCAACTTCCCTGCCGTCCTCTCACTCTTCCTGCTGTACGGGTATGTTGCTGAGATGGGATGAGCAGGGCAGGGGGTGAGTCATGGTGCATCAGTGCATCCATCTGCACTGTGTCTGCACCAGGATCCAGCTCTGGGGCTGCCTGTGTGGCAGTTTCATCTGTTGGGAGACCCCAGGGAGGATGGCACTGGGAGATAGGCTCTGGGAAATCCCACAGCTCACTGGTTGTTGCCATGGTCCCTTTCCTGCCCCGCTCATGTGCAGTCCTGCTGCTTGTCTCCTCAGCTGGTCCATCACCCCTATCATGTATCCTGCCTCCTTCTGGTTTGAGGTGCCCAGCTCTGCCTATGTCTTCCTCATCGTCATCAACCTCTTCATTGGCATCACAGCCACCGTTGCCACGTTCCTGCTGCAGCTCTTTGAGCATGACAAGGTATGAGCTTCATGGCTCTGACTGGGGCCACCAGGAAGGGAGGAGATGCTTCTTCAACTTGGTGAGAGCGGTGATGTCCCTGGCATGGTACAAGGAACCAGAACGCTGTGACAAAGCCTTTGGCTCCCAAACAGCAACTGGTGGTGGTGCTGCCAGGGTGGTGCCAGGCAGGATAGGACCTCAGGAGGTCTCTACTGAAAACTCCTGCTCACAGCAGGGTCAGCTGTGAGCCCAGACTGCATCTTGGTGGCCATCCTGATCCTACTAGGTGCTTGCAGTCCCCATGGATGTTTCTGATGGCTGTATTCTCTCTGCCCACCTTCACAGGATTTGAAGTTGGTGAACAGCTACCTGAAGAGCTGCTTCCTTGTGTTCCCTAACTACAACCTGGGCCATGGCTTGATGGAGATGGCCTACAATGAATACATCAATGAATACTATGCCAAGATCGGTATGGCCTCTTCCTCCCACTCTCCCTTGCTCCATGGTGGGCCAGGGGAGACAACTGTGCTGCACATCCCTTCCTACCACCCTGTGGGACTCTCCAGGGGTCTAGAGCAACGTAGAGCAAAGAGCTGGGGGTTGTGAATGAGAGAGCCTTGGGAGCAGACACAGTTGAGGGCCTGCTGAGAGTCATGTTGTGGTGCCAGTGATGCTGAGCACAATTCCTCAGGTCATTCCATACATCAGCCCTGCAGAGAGCAGAGATTGTGAGCCCTGACAGAATTGCACATTTCTGCTGCCATCACACGCTGCCCATGGTGAGGGCACTGTGCAGTGATCTGAGAGATGAGAATGCAGGGACTGCTTTGTTTCAGATGTAATATCTTGGTTGCACGGCTGCATTGCCCTACCAAAATGACCCTTTTGCTAAATGCAGCTTCAAGTTGGTGTCAGAAAGTTTTGGTGCTGCTGGCATCATGGGAAGTATTTAGGAGCAGAATCTGACATATCCATTCAGTACCCATTCTCAGTTGGATTGATCCACCCCACTGAGGTTGAAAAGTTGCAAGGTGATTTCAACAACTGTGTTGTGAATGGAAAGCCTTGTTGTAACCAGCAGTGGTGCTGGCAATGCCAGCCAGCCTGGGAAGATGCAGGAACATGGAAGGGGAGGGGATGCAGAAGCAGGGCAGTGTCACATTCAGCCTAGCTAAGACTTACAGTGAGCATGGTGGTGCGATAAGCAGCTGCTGCTACCTGATTGTTTTGCTGCTGACCCTCCAGTCTGTTATGGTGGTGGCCCTGTCCCCTGGAGCTGTCACACATGGGCTACCTGTCCTCCTGGGAAGGTGCCCCCAGCTGCTCTGTGCTCTTCATCCCACTCAGGGCAATTTGATAAAATGAAATCACCTTTCGAATGGGACATCGTGACACGAGGGCTCGTTGCTATGACAATCGAAGGCTTCGTCGGCTTCTTCATCACCATCATGTGCCAATACAACTTCTTCCGGAAGCCCCAGTGAGTGTGGCAGGGTTGTGCGGAGCTGTGCTGCAGCCTCCCCAGCCCTTTGCAATGGGACAGCTTGGCTGCGGGACCCTCAGCTCGGCACGGCCTCTGCCACCCGTCCCCAGACTCTGCCCCCTGGAGGGGTGCAGGAAGGCAGCTTGCCCCCCACCCCGCCCCTCGCTTCCTTCCGCAGGCGGCTCCCAGTCTCCACCAAACCCATTGAAGATGACATCGATGTGGCCAACGAGCGGCACCGCGTCCTGCGCGGCGATGCTGACAACGACATGCTGAAGATTGAGAACCTCACCAAGGTACAGGCGCCCCGGGGCTGTGGCACAGGGGTGCTGCGGGGCATTCAAGGGATGCAGGCTGAGCTTGGGTGCTGGGCTGAGCATCCTGCCCTGCCCTGCCAGGTGTACAAGTCCCGCAAGATCGGGCGCATCCTGGCTGTGGACCGGCTGTGTGTGGGTGTGCGGCCGGGGGAGTGCTTCGGGCTGCTGGGCGTCAATGGTGCGGGGAAGACGACCACCTTCAAGATGCTGACAGGGGATGAGAGCACGACGGGAGGAGAGGCCTTCGTTAATGGGCACAGGTATGGGGGCATGGGCTGGCGGGGGCTGCCCTCTTGTTTGTGGATGGGATGAGGACTGCTTTGGAGCTTCCCATGAAGAAGCAGCATGAGCCTCCCCCTGGGGCTCGGTGGTGCAGCCCCACATCCTGCTGGGCACTTGTCTGTGCGCTGTCTGTGACTCTGGCATTCCTTCTCCCTTTGGCCTCTCTGTCTCTTCTCACAGCATCCTGAAGGAGCTCCTCCAGGTCCAGCAGAGTTTGGGCTACTGCCCCCAGTTTGACGCGCTCTTTGATGAGCTGACAGCCCAGGAGCACCTGGAGCTCTACACGCGCCTGCGTGGCATTCCCTGGAAGGATGAGGAGAGGGTAGGATTTTGGTCAGGTGTTTGGCAATGCCTGGGGGCTGGTGCTGTGCCACAGTCTGCTCTGGGAAAAGCATCTCAGCTATCACTGGTGGGCACCAAAGTGGGTGTAGCCCCCCCTCATGACTGCCTGCTGCTGCCCCAGGGTAGTGCTGCTCCAGCAGTGCTCCTGCTGCATGTCCAGGGCTGGGCATAGGTGCAGGGAGGTCCCAGTGGTGCTCAGAGCTGTGTGAGGGGCTGTAATGGGGCTATTTGCCCATTGCCCTCTGCCAGCTCTTCACATCCTTTGCCCAGGGGTGTTTGGGGCCCCAGGAGGGTGATTACAGCCCTCTGCACCTTGCAGGTGGTGAAGTGGGCGCTGAAGAAGCTTGAACTGACCAAGTACGCTGACAAGCCTGCCAGCACCTACAGTGGAGGCAACAAGAGGAAGCTGTCCACAGCCATCGCTCTGATTGGATACCCAGCCTTCATCTTCCTGGTGCGCCCCGGCCTCCTGGCACCTGAGAGTGGGGTCTTCATCCCACTCTCATAAGTCCCACTGTCCCACTCAGTTCCATACCCCTGGACATGGACCCAGGCTAGTGTGCAGCTGTCCTGGGTGAAACAGTGCCCTGGGAAGGGGCTTTCTGCCCCATGGGCTTTGCCACAAGCATTCCAAGCTGGGGAGCAGGGAGGCAGAGCTGTGCCCATGCAACGGGAAGAGAGTTGTGGGGTTCCCCTTGAGAGCTGGCTTGTCTGAGGCTGCCATGTGTCCTGCAGGATGAGCCTACTACAGGGATGGACCCCAAGGCACGGCGCTTCCTCTGGAACCTCATCCTGGATGTCATCAAGACAGGCCGCTCCGTAGTGCTCACATCTCACAGGTCCGAGGGCTTTAGGCTACACCTGCAGTGCCTCCAGGCATCTCATGCGCTGTGGGTGAATGGTGGGGGGGAGAGAGGCTCTTTGGCCTCTGGGGGACAGCATATGGCAAAGGGCACAGGAGTGGAGGGAGCCTGGGTCACCCTGCCTCCCATCACTGGTGGTGGTGGCCCTGATGCATCAGGTGAAGGCCTGGGAAGCTCAGCTCCCCGTATGCCACAGCCTGCAACTCCTTGCTGGCTGTCTACGCCACGTCTCCAGGCTCAGGCCTGCCCTCTCTCCCCAGCATGGAGGAATGTGAGGCGCTCTGTACCCGTCTGGCCATCATGGTGAATGGGCGGCTGAAATGTCTTGGCAGCATCCAGCACCTGAAGAACAGGTAAGAGCCTGGGGGGGGGTCCAGCAACCTGCCAGGAGGTGCCAATTGCCAAATGGCAGGGTGATGGTATGGCATCCACTCCAAGCTTCCAGCTTTTTGTGCAGGTGCTTTAGAGGAGGGAGCAGGGGGAGCAGGGCAGTCCTGGTGGGAGCAGTCACTGCATCCCCAGCGGGCAGGTATCCGTGGGGTCGGTGTTTCCCCACAGAGATGCAGGTGTCTCATGGGAACCCCAACCCTTTGCAGGTTTGGTGATGGCTACATGATTACAGTGCGCACAAAGTCCAGCCTCAATGTCAAGGAGGTGGTGAGGTTCTTCAACCGCAACTTCCCTGAGGCCATCCTCAAGGTAACGTCCCCCAAGGGACTTCATCTTCCCTTCAGCTAGGGGGATGCGGGTGATGTGACGCAGTGTGCGGAGCGAGTGCTCCAATGTGATCTTGATGACTTTGCAGGAGAGGCACCACACTAAGGCCCAGTACCAGCTCAAATCGGACCAGATCTCACTGGCACAGGTCTTCAGCAAGATGGAGCAGGTGGTGGATGTGCTGGGCATTGAGGACTACTCTGTCAGCCAGACCACCCTGGACAACGTGAGGCTGGGGATGGCACAAGCAGCTGGGTGCTCACGCTGAGGGAGGGTGGCAGTGCCCACATGCCTGCCAGAAGCCTTCAGGACAGGAGCAAGTGCTGGGCTGGGAACGTGGGGGCACACGGAGTCTGGGTCACTGGTCACAGCAGTAGAGATGCCAGGTGAGGGGCAGCCCTGGGGCAGGGCTCTCACCCCTCTTTCCTTCCAGGTGTTTGTGAATTTTGCCAAGAAGCAAAGCGACAACCTGGAGCAGCAAGAGACAAGCCCCAGCTGTGCCCTGCAGTCCCCCTGGGAGCGTGTGCTGAGCCTGCTGCGCCCGCGGGCTGCGCCCACAGAGCTGCGGGCTCTGGTGGTGGAGGAGCAGGAGGACCTGGAGACAGATGATGAAGGCCTCATCAGCTTCGAGGAGGAGAGGGTGAGAGGCAGCCCCAGCATCTCGGTGTCCCAGCACCCTAATCTCAGTGTCCGTGCTCTCAGTTCTGTCCTTGTCATGAGGCCCCAGCATCATGCCTGGGCCCTCATCCTGGGAAATCAAGGCCAGACGGGGGCAAGACCTGAGGGTGCTTATCAGGGGAGGAGGGGTATGGGAGCTTCCCCAGCTCCTGGGCCGAGTGCCTCCCCCTGAGCCCTACAATCTGTGTGTCCCCAGGCTCAGCTGTCATTTAACACAGACACGCTGTGCTGAGGAGCTGAGGAGGAGCCACATCCCCAGGCTGTGATGCCATTGAACACTTTTCGCCTTTCCCCTCCCTTCGCCCCTGTCGTGTGGATGCAGCTGGCATGGGGATGTGGATGGCTGCCTCCTGCCCTGCTGCTGAGGAGGACGTGGTGGGTGCAGCACCAGCCCTGATGGACCCTGCAAGCCACTACCCCAGCCCTCCTTGTCCCGTTCAGCTCCAGGGCCGTGTCCCCATGCCACACTTGTGGCTGCTGCCCTCGCCAGCTCGCCGGGCTGGCACATGCCACGAACAGTCTGGGAGAAGAGAAGAGAAGAGAAGAGAAGAGAAGAGAAGAGAAGAGAAGAGAAGAGAAGAGAAGAGAAGAGAAGGATGTGATGCCAGTGCCACCAGTCCCACACGTCCCAGGGCGGGGAGAAGGCCAGTGAGAGCGGTGCCTTCGGGCAGCCACGTTGCACCCACCCCAGGGACCCCTGACTATGGGAATGCCCCTGTTCCGTCCCAGCCCTGGTGTGATCAGAGGAAGGACTGTTGCATTCTCCTTGTTGCCATCGCTTGCTGGGCTTGGTGCTGGCCATGGCATCGCACGGGCTCAGTGGCTCAGTACGGAAGGGGCCGGAGCTCCAGTGCTTCACCCTTGTTTGATCACTGCTGCCGGTGCTGCTGCCAGGACCTTGCTGTGCCCTCACCCCCGTGAGCCCCCAGCTCACTGCCATGTCCCAGGCTGCTCTTGCCTGGGCCTGGTCCTGGGCCCACTCTGCCTTGCCTTCCCCGGCTTGCTCTGTGCACTCAGTGCCATCCCTGGGGCAGGGCACTACTACCCATGCCAAGAGGCACGTGGTGGGGCAGAGGGGTATTTCACAGGGTATTTCACATGCTGGCACCAGCTGTTTCTCCCCTCTGCCCCCAACTGCGTCCTACAGCCCCCCATCCTGCCCCCTGCCTGCTGCTAGCCCCTGCTTCCCGTGCCCCACAGCAGGCACAGGACAACGCTGCAGCTGTGCCACCATTCTACTGTCACCCATCCTGTTCTCCGTGGCCATGGCCCAGTGCAGGAGCGTTGGTTCACTGCGGCTACTGAAAGGAACTGCTGCACCCAGGATGGTTTCTGAGCCTGGAAACAACCTCGAGGGGGTGAGGGCAGGGCAAGCCCAGCTGGGCACTGGTCAGCCTGGCAGTGGTACTTGTTCTGTTGGGCAGGGAAGGACGGCAGCTGGCAGTGGTGCTGTGCCCATCCATGTGCAGCATCACCCAGCGCTGGAGCAGGCACCCTCAGGGTGGCAGCACCCCTCCTTTCTGCAGAGGGTCCTGCCACCTCCTCACCCACAGGGGGCTGTGCCCAGCACCCCCAGACTGCAGCCTTTCAGCAGCCATGCCCAAAGCAGGAGTGACTGCTGAGCCTGTACTGCTAACCTGGGCATCACTCTGCACCCCAGGGCTCCCACCCCCCCCCGAGGTAGCCATGCCCCGCCACCCGCACTGTGCTGCCTGTGCCCGCCTCCTGCCCAGTGAGGCAGCTCCGGCAGCCCGGGCTCGCTGCGGTGTGGGCAGTGCTGTGGGGGTATGGGACGGAGCTGCTACTGCCTCTGCTCAAGGACGGACCCGGGGTGGGAGCGGTACCACTTTGCCCTCTGCTGTGCCCACAGCCCGCCAGTCCAGTGTGCCACTACTAGAGATTGTGATACAATATACAGTATTTTCAATAGGGGAAAAACTCGGGGCGGGGGAGGGGGGAGGGAGAGAGATAAGCTCTATTTTCAGATTTTTCAGACCATATATTTTTTACGGCATACTGGAAACTGGCCGGTCCCTGCATGGTGCAAGGGGCAAGGGCGGGTGCTGAGGGAGCAGCAAACTGTGGGTTTGCCCTTTGCCAACAGGGAAAGGAGGGCCCGTGTCGCCTGCAGGCATCCAGAGGTGACCTGGAAGGGGGGACAGCTCAGCCCCCTCCAGGCACCCAAGGGTGGGCACGGCGCCCTGCCCTGCTGCAGGGCTGTGTACTCTTCCCACAGCTGCCCTGGTGTTGTGCCTCTGGGGCTACTCGTGGAAGGAGACACCCCAGTCCCCCAGCCCAGCACTCCCACCCGGTGCCGTCCCGCCGTCCTTGGGTGCTCAGCAAAGTCGTTGTGCCCCTCGCAGAGTGCTCAGCAGAGCCTGGGGGCCGCGTGCCCTCCCTGCTCCAGGTGCGGGAGGACCGTGCAGAAAGGTGCCCCACGACAGCGGGGCTGGAGCAGCGCGTTGCCCAGGGCGGGGTGCCCGCTGCCTTAACACTGCTTTCTTGAGTTCGGCCCCGCTTCCCAGCTCGCCTCCCCCCGCACCGCCGCAGGAGCAGCTCCTGTGCCATGCACGGCCCCGAGTGTGGGGCACCCCGGTGGGTGGGGATGCTCCGGAGGAGCCTGTACATTGCTAGAAAAAAAAAAAAAAGAAAAAAAAAAAAAAAAAGGAAAAGGAAAAAAAAAGGAAATGTGAAAATGATGATTGTTTTAAATAAAAAATAACTGGAGCCAGCAAGGCTGCGCAACGAGTGGCGGGCAGGGGGTGGAAATGCCAGCGCGGCCGGACGGGCTGGAGCCGGGCACGGGGTGAGGAGCTGCTCAGTGCCCTGGGCAGGGCGGGGGGTGCAGGGGCACAGGCACGGCGCTGGGGGCATCGCCCGGAGCCGGTGCGGGGCTGGCGGGGAGGCACGGAGCGCTGCGGGCGCAGCAGCCCCCGGGCAGAGCCGCCCTTTGCCGCTCCGCTGTGGTCGTGGGGCCCCGCGACGGGGCGGCCCCTCTGTGCTGTGGGGCCACGCGTGGGTGGGAGCGGGAGCACCCCGGGGAGGAATGTGGGTTGGGAGGGGCCGCAGCTCTGGCACGGGCACTTACGGCACAGTCACCGCTGAGCCACCGCCCAGCATGGACGAGAAGCCCCAGATCCAGCTCTTCGTCAAGGTGAGGACCTGCACGGGGCCGGGGGTCGCGGCTGCCGCTGCCTGCGAGCGCCGGGGTCCGCCAGCATTGGCGTCAGCGTCCGACCGCTGCCACGGCCGCCCCGGGGGCTGCACCGGAGCGCGGCGGCTGAGCTCTGCCTTTGCCCGCAGGCGAGCGAGGACGGGGAGAGCGTGGGGCACTGCCCCTTCTGCCAGCGGCTCTTCATGGTGCTGCTGCTCAAAGGAGCACCCTTCACCCTCACCACCGTGGACACGAAGAGGTGAGCGGTTCTCCGCGACGCGCTGCCGGCCTGGGGGCGTGGGGTGGGACAGCCCTGCTCCGCGCACCGGCCCGGGGGTTGCGGGAAGGTCTCACCACGTGGGGAAGGGGCTGAGGACATCTGTTGTACCCCCTGGCTGCCCACCGTTGCCCTAAGGGAGGGCGGCGGACGCTTCTTGGGCGGAGTTGTCACGGACACACCCGGGGCAGGAGCAGCCCCCGGGGAACGCCTCATCCTTTTGCCCGGGACAGGTCCCGGTGCGCTGCAGATCCCCGGGCAACGCGGGCGTCAGCAGCTTCCTCTCTCCTGCAGGGCTCTGGATGTGCTGAAGGACTTTGCGCCCGGCGCTCAGCTGCCCGTTCTGCTCTACAACGGAGACTCCAAGACCGATACAGTCACCATCGAGGACTTCCTGGAGGCCAGGCTGGCCCCCCCCACGTCAGTGGCTGGCACTGCCCTGAGAAGGGCTAAGGAGGGGTGGAGAAGCTGAGGAAGGGGCGGGGATGGCAGCTTCCAGCCCTGCTGCTTTTTTCCACAGCTTGTGCCCATGTCCCCGCAGGTTCCCCAGCCTGGTCCCGCGGTACAAGGAGTCAAGGCTGGCTGGAAACGACATCTTCCACAAGTTCTCCACCTTCATCAAGAACCCAGTGCCTGCTCAGGATGAGGGTGAGGAGCTGGGGGGCAGGCCGTGCCGTGTCGTATGGGGGCAGCGACAGCGCCAGCCTGGGCCAGGCGAGAACGGTGCAGGCGCAATGCCGGCAGAGCAGGGGCTGGAGGCTGCCTGCTGCCCTGACTGCACACTGCTGCCGCCCCACAGCGCTGCAGCGGAACCTGCTGAAGGCCCTGCTGAAGCTGGATGAGTACCTGAGTACACCCCTGGAGCATGAGCTGGCCCGAGAGCCTCACCTCCGCATCTCCCAGCGCCGCTTCCTCGACGGCGACCAGCTCACGTTGGCTGACTGCAACCTGCTGCCCAAGCTCAACATCGTGCAGGTGCGCGGCTGTCCCCACTACACGCCTTCTTTCCTTGCCTTGCCTCCTTGGTGCTGCCTGCCCCATGCTCTCACCTCCTCCTGGGTACTCACCTGCTACCTGCTGCAGCAACTTCTCTTTCCCCTGTGTCATTCCCTGTGCACCTCACCCCCCCAGGTGCCTTCCTGGCACCCCACAGCTCCGGCCCAGCACAGCACTTTCCCAGACCTCACCCCATCTGCATCCTGCACCGAGTGCCCCTCCTCCATCCTGTGCTATGCCAGCAATGTCCTCTTGCCCCGTGCCACCCTCCCTGGCTCCCACCAGTGAGCACCACCAGCTCCTGGCTGCAGCCCCCCCAGCTCATGGCAGGCACACAGCAATGGGCTGTTTCTGCCCGCAGATTGTCTGCCAGCATTACCGCCGCTTCGGCATCCCCAAGGACCTGCAGGCGGTGTGGCGCTACCTTAACAACGCTGCTGAAACCAAGGAGTTCAAGTACACCTGTCCCAGCAGTGAGGAGATCGTGCAGGCCTACCGCTCCGTTGTCCGGTCCCCGCAGTGAGCCGGGCAGACGCCCAGGTGGGCACAGGGCCGGGCACCAGCACAGCACCTGCCTGGTCCTGCTGCTCCCACCGCCATCCTGCCCACACGCGCTTCAGAGGGCAGAGCATCAGCACGCAAATTTCCCCAGCTGGCACCCAAGGTGCCTCACACTGAGCCTGCCAATGCTTTCTTGCTTCTCGTGTCACCCTCTCTGCCTGGCCAGGACACCCTCTACCCACCCTGCGGTCCCTCAAGCATTAAGGATGGGTACAGCCATGGGCACCGCTTGTAAGAGAACTGGGCAGTGCTGAGGGGAACATTGGGGGCTGGGGAAGAAAAGCTGCCTGGAGGGCAGTGCACTGCAGTGGGAATCCCTACAGCCTCCCACCACGCGAGCTGCCCTAGCTGCGGCCAGGACAGCAGGCACTGCAGGGTGTTTGTGAGCAGCAGCACAGGGTGAGGGGAACGGGCACAGCTGTGGCAAAGCCCTGGGAATGGAGCTGGGGGGGACTCTGCAGCACCCTGCCCTGTCACCACTGCTGTGGCAAGGGGAGCAGAGGGCAACGTCCTGCCAGGACTTGCTGCTAGGAAGCTCTCTGGAGCAGATTTGGGACAGGGATGGGGATGAAATGGGGAAAGTCCAAGCCATGCATCAGAGCACTCGGAAATCAATAAAGGCTTTGCAAGTGAGACAGGAGTGTGTCTGGAGTGACCTGCCACTGTAGCTGCCCCCTGCACATGGCTTGGCTCTGTGGGAGGGTGGAGAGGCTCTCACCAGTCACCTACCCATCCATTGGCACAAAACTGGCGAGAAAGTGCACTCCTTGGAGCCTTTGAGCTTCCAGATTGAGCTGAAATTGGCTGCTGAGCAATAGAAGTAGAATGAAATGACACACACACACACCGTCATGCTGGCCGGGTACCAAGACCTGCTGGCCAAAACCAGAAACCAGCTTTACTGGCAATAAATTAAGCACAGACAACCTTTAAAAAATACCTTTTGATGCTCTTTTAAAAACCCCAGCAACTCATAGCAAGTGGGGTAGAGGTGTGGCACCTGTCAGCAGGGAAAAGCTGCAGGGCAAAAAGCCACCACTTTGTCACCGCTGCCTCGCCTGCCCCCAGAGCTGTGCCCCAGCACAGCCGAGGAGCCACTGCCCACCAGGTCTGCCTGGTGCTGCCTGCAGGTCCTGCCTGCCCCATGCAGCTCTCAGCCCTGCATGCATCGCACCTGCAGAGCAGCATGGTGCAGGCAGACTCCAGTGTCTAAGCGTGGATAACAAGGCTGCTGTTGGGAGGATGGAACAGTGCAGGTCATGAGTCTTCAAAGTCCACTCCAGATGGAACAGACTTGCTAGAAAAGGATACAGGGAGTCACACCGAGCCATGCACCCTGCAGAGCACGGCCCAGCAGATCAGCTGGGCTCCCAGCACTGGGCTGTGGAGCAGCACGTACCTTTTGAAGCCAGGATTAATGAGGGACTCTCCTGGGATCTTTCTTTTTGCTGGCAAAGTGGAGCCAGCAGCCTTGTTCCTTCTGGGGCTGGGGTCTGCCTTAGACGGGGTGGGGGGAGGAGGGACAGGAAAAGCAAGAGCTCAGCAGTGGGCTCTGGCAGCCCTGCAGGCCCTTCTGAGCCCTGAGAGCACCTATGGCAGCCACAGTGGGTGAGGAAGGCCTGGGGGAGCTGCCAGGGCCTTCAGTCTGGGAGATCATCAGTGCCGGTCCTCCCCTGCAGCTGGGCACACTGCCTGCCCGCCGATGCATCACCTCAGGAGCTGCTGTGCTGAGCCGGGCCCCTCCTGTGCCAGGGAGGGCACCGACAGCAGTGCGGGCAGCAGCCACGGCGGAGGAGGATCAGCACCCCGGGGGGCTCCCAGCCCCTGCAGCCTCCTGGGGGACGAGAAGGCAAACGAACGTGCAGCACAGCCCCCAGAACCACTCACCTGGCAGGATGGGCTGCTGGCTCTGGAAGGTGTTCTTCTCAGGGCTGTAGCTCAGCGTGCCCAACACTGTGCGACAGGAGCAGGGGTCACAGCTCATGCCAGTGCCTGCCTAGCACTTCCCTGCCCTGCACGGCCACACGGCTCCCTCCTCCCGCCCACCTCCACGCGGGGACCTCCCCACCAGGAAGGGCACTTCTGCGCACGGAGGTGCCCCGAGAACACGGCCGTGCTGCTGCACGCTTCAGGCGGGGGATCTCCTGCCCGAGGTGCTCCGGACGGCCCCACCCGTGGGCACACGGCAGCCGCAGAAGAGGCGGATGTTGTAAAGACCCCCCTCCCGCGGGGCCCCTCCGACGGCCGCCCGCCCCTCTCCCCCCGCCCCGTCCCGAGGCCGCACCTTCCAAGCGCTCCTCCAGGTCCCGGACGCGGGCGGTCATGGCGAACAGCAGCGCCTGGAGCTGCGGCCGCGCCTCGGCAGCGGGCAGCCGGGGAAGCAGCAGCGCCTCGTGCCCCTCCCGCAGCCGCAGCGTGGCCGCCCCGTCCCGCAGCCCCAGCGAGGCGGCCCCGCGGCCCAGCGCTGCCCTGCTGGGATGGAGCGCGGTGAGCCGGGGCCCGCAGCCCGGCGGGGGACGGACGGACGGACGGACGGACGGAAATCCCGGGTCCCTCTCACCCGCCGGGCGCCCACCTGAGTTCCGCGACGCCGTCCTCCGGCGGATCCCCGCCGAGCCGCGCGGCCCACATCTCCAGCGCATCGGTCACACTGCGGGGCAGAGGTTCAGGCCGGGCCTCGTCGGCCCCGCCCCGCCCCGCCCCGCCCGGCACTCACTAGACGGTGGCGGCCGAGCCGGGGCCGGACGCGGGGCGGCAGTAGCAGAGGTAGCGGTCCGCGCCGTCCCGCAGAACTACGAACGGCCCCGACGGCTCCGCCATGTCACTGCCGGAAGGGGCGGCGCGGGCGGCGCTGCGGGAACGGCCGGCCCCGTGATGGTGCACCTCGGGCTGCGGCGGGTGGAGGACAGCGTGGCCGCCAAACACCCGGTGCGTGCGGGGGGGGGAGGTCGGGGGGAGCGAGGCGGATGGAGCCGGTGTCCCCGCGCTGACGGTGTCCCCGCAGGCGCTGCAGCAGTACGCGGCGTGCCAGGCCCACGCCTTCATGAAGGGCATCGGCACCTTCCTGGCAGGTACGGCCGCGGAGGGACGCGGCGGGCGGGGCTGCCCGGTGCTAACCGCCCCCCGGCCTGACGGCGCCGTGGCCGGCACCGCCCGGCTCGCTGTTTGGGCAGGCAGCGGCGCTGCGTTTGCCGTGCAGAAGCTGGTGAACTGGAGGCTGCCGTACGCGCTGCGGTGGAACCTGCTGCTGTCTGTGGGTGAGTGCCCCGCGCCGACCCCCCCGGCCCCGCTCCCTGCCCGGTGACGGCGCGAGGCCCCGCGGGGAGCGCAGTCCGGGCGGCGGGAGCGGAGCCGCGTTTGCGGTTGTCGGCCGGTCGCCTTTCTGCTCCCCAGTGCCCGGGGGGGTCGGGGTCTGCTCACGGGCGGCTGTACAGCCTGCTTTAGAGGGAGGACACCCGCATGCCGGTCTGTCCAGTGGCAGGGTCCTTGGCCAGCTATACGGTGACCAGAGCGGAGACGCAGAAATGCTCGGACTTCTGGATTTATTTGGAGACGGGCACGTCCCCGCAGGAGCACCGCATGGCTGACAGAGTGCCTCAGCCTGCAGGTGAGTTTTGTGTCTCTCCCACAGCTCTCCCTTGGCTTGGCTTGGTTCTTCCCTGCTGTGGCTCTTTGCCGTTCCTGCCTCATATCTAAGCTCACTGCTGACTGCATCCTTGTCACAATCCCTCATGTGCCATGGTGACACCCTCCAGTTGAGGATCCCCCTTCTACGGGGCAGCAGCAGCAGCTCCCCAGGGTTGCAGCAGCCAGTGCTCCCTGCTTGCCCTGATCTGGTGCCCTGCAGTGCTCTGTGCCCATTGCCTGCTCAGCAGCAACCTGGTACAGCCGCTGCCCGCTGGCCTGCCCGTTCTGTGCATTCACAAGAGCTGGGACTTTTTGTTTGCTGGAATGGAATAGGGCCGTGGATGAGCTAGCAAACTGTGCTTGTGCTTGAGCCACTGCTCAGTGGGAAACTGAATGGGGCTGGAGCAGACATGCTGGGGTTTCCTGTGGCTGCCTCCTGCTGTGCCCGGTGGCATCATGCTGCTGAAGCTCAGTAAAACTGAAGAGGTATTAAGCACTTCCCCAGGGCTCTGTGCTTCTCTGCTTGCCCTGCCAAACATGCTGGGATCATCTGGGGTCCAACAAGCTTGCTCTTGTCTGTTGCAGACAACCTACTCAGCCTGGAGGACGCAGAGAGAGTGGAGAGAGTGCCACCAGCCGTGCGGAGGAACAAATACGGGGACATCGTGGAGTAGCCAGGAGCACGGTGTGCTGTGCCCACATCCTGCTGCTGCTGCCCTCAGCCCTTCTGTCTGCTTGCTGTGCCCCTGCAGTGTGGGAGACATCTGCAGTGCTGCCACGGAGCTCAGAGGAGTCCCCAGCAGTTGTGTGTGAGCACCCAATAAAAGTCCTGAGCTGAATGCATATGCTGTGAAGGAAGTCATGTCTGGCAGTGGGATGGAAGGAGCTGGTGGCAAACATCACCTGGACGCATCCCCTCTGCTGTATGTTGAAGCAGAAAAATCTGGTCTCTCTGAGACTACAGGAATCACAGTCCAAGTGTGCTGGGCTGTGAAACATCTCTAGACATGGACGTGTCCAGACAGAACTGTGAGGAGGCAGAGCTGCTGCCACACTCTGTTCATTGGGCATTGCTGATAACATAACAGCATGACCTATTTGCTCACCCAAATGCTGCTGTCCTGAATCTTCTGCCTTGTTGTCTGTCCCAAAGAGGGGAGCAGTGTGTGCGTGCCCAGAGCCGGGCTGTGAACCCTGCTGGCCTCGGGCTCTGCCTCTGGATGCTGTACCCACAGGGAAGGGAATGCTCGAACGCCCAGAGAGGCACCCGGGAAAGATCTGGAATTTTATGTCTTTTTTTCCTCCCCTAATTGCAACCCTCGAATGAAGCCCATAGGTTAAGCCGGCTCTGTATGGATGTGCAGCTCTGAATCGGTCGCAGCTGAATTTCTCAGATGGGAAAATCCAGCCCGGATGCTGCAGCAAGCCGCTTTCTTCCAGCGGGGCGGCACTGCTCGGCTTCAGAGGGGGAGCAGAAGCGCTTCCTTCCGCCAGAGATCCGGGCGCAGTCACTGAGCAGAGCCGCGGGAGGGAGCTCCTGTGCTGGGAAAGGGAGAGGAGGGAGGAAACGTTGGAGCATCGTGAGCCAGAATCCTGTTTGCTCCTACGGGGAGGTGGGAAGCAGCTGTCAGAACAGCTGAAATGAGAAGAGGGCGCATTAAGCAGAGCACGGTGCTACAGGACTGTAGGACCTGCAGGGCAGGATGTCAGTCGGCGAGGAAACCCGTGGAGAAGAAATGGGGCTGTGAGAATAGGGAGGGCAGTGAGAAGCTGCTTCTCTTCTGAGGAATGTGGCCAGGCAGCAGGCTGTGAGCAGGTGGGATTGAGGAGCTGGGTTGGCCTCTGTGCAGTTGTCCAGGTGGTTCTGTGAGTCTGGCAGCTCAGAGCAGCCTGCCTTGACAAACTGAATTTCTGCAGGCTGCTGTTCTGCCCTGTGTAGCCTGTCGTGTGTGCCCTGGAGCGCAGGGACTGCACAGAGCAGAGCTGCCTGCGTGCACCTTTGGGATGGCCGTGTTTGGGAGGCCTGAACTTCTCAGCTAGCTGCCTGAAACTTCCATTTCCAGGTGGACCTGATCCCAGACTTTAAGCCCAGCCTGGCCTCTCTTTGGGGATTCTGCAGGCTGGGAGGGTGTAAAAACCATGGCTGTGTCTGAGCACCAGGCAGGCTTGAAGGGAGTGAGTCCTTCGTGTAAAGCTGGGCATGCAGCTGTGTCCCAGTGGAGCCCACCTGTGCCTCCACGCCTGCAGCACAGCCAGTCCTTGTCAGCCCATTGCTGTCACACCAACAAAGCCACAGGAGTGGTTACAAAGATTTATTTTTGATTATAAAAAAAGAACCAACAAAATAAAACGAAGCCCACAAGCCTTCCTGCACATTCCCATGTCCCTGTTATTTTTTTTTTCACTCATTCAGAAATAAAGGCACATCCTCTGAGATGTCTGCCTTGGGGTGATGCAGGGCTCAAACCCTCAAGCTGCACAAAGCCCTGATCCTGCAGCAAATCCATGCCCCTGCTGCAGCAGCTGGGAGCCCAAGGCAGCAGTTGTGGCACAGCTGAGACTGGCATAGGGACTGCAGGAATGAGGAAGGCACTGCATCTGATTGCTGGGGGGCACAAGAAGCTGCCTGCTCTGCTTGTTGCTAAGCCCCTATCTGATGGTCCCAAGCAGAGACAGGTGGAAGTCCAGGCCAGGATTTGGCCCTCAGGAAGTTCACTGGGATTTGTGCATCCACCAGAAAGACAGTTAAGTTCTGGGTGATGCCCAGAGCTCCCCGGAATGGCTGGGCTGGTTCTCCAGGGACAGGTAGTGAGTCGGCTATAAGGACTAGAGTAATATTCCCCACCCTCCCCATGTATGTATGTGAGAATACAGTTGTCTGGGCTCATTGGCCCAGATCAGCCCGAGTTGAGAAGCAGACAGATACCCCAGATATGAATGTCTGGACCTCAAGCCTGCTTCAGCATCTGTCCCTGAGTAGCACTGGGAATCCCTTAAGACATTCTCCTCCTCTTTTATCCCCCTCTTTCTGCAGCTTGAAAGCAAAGGGAGGGCAAAAAGGGGCAGCTTTCCCTCTGGGGCATACAGCATCAGGTGTCAGGGAGAGCATCTCCGAGCACTTGCTGAATCCCAAGTACTCAGGCCACGGAGACTCCAGCAGGAAGGATGGTGTTGGGTGCTGCAGAGAAGGCCTGTCCTGTCCCATGGTTAGATTGTGCTGGACTTGCTGCGCCGGAGCAGGTAGACAGCAGTCAGCAGAGCTGTCAGGGTGGTGATCACAAAGAGCAAGATGAGGATGACCCAGTAGTTGTACAGCATGCTTCTGTGGGAAGCAGGCTCCTCTGCCGGGATCATGTTGGTGAGGTTCAGCATGTAGCCGAGGGCCCAACCGATGGAGGTTTCTCCTGCCTGTGAAAACAGCACAGCACAGTCAGCACAGCTCTGTGGGCCTCGGGGGACCTTCCATTGTCAGCCCAATGGCGGGCAGCTCACAGCAGCCCGAGTCCTTGCTCACCTGTGGGTCCAGCACAAACAGTGCCCTGGTGGGACAGTGTCCACGTGCTTAACTGGTCTCATCTGATGGGAGGAGGATCTTATCTGCCTGGGACAGTCCTGACCTTGCTCCCCACCCCATGCCCCATGTACCTGGTTGGACTTGGCAAAGTTGGGATCCTGCCCCGAGCAGGATCAACAAGCCTGGGTTGTTTGAGATCTCTGCTGTTTGGAGGACCAAGAAGGAACTGGTGGACCTTGAAATTCCTGACTCTGTCACCACCCTATGGTTAACTCAGTTCATTTGTTCCCAAAATATATGCCCCTCCTGTTCCCGAGGACCTTCCCTCACATATCGCTCAGCTCTTGGTGTGGGTTCATCTCTTACTTTTTGTTCCAGTGTTGAATGAATACCATGGGATGGCTGTGTGCCCTGGTGTTACCCACCTTTTTCTGGAAGGCAATACTGGGGAAGGAACGGTTGTTGAAGTTGTAGCCCTTTGTGATGAGCAGATAAACAAACATGCTGGTAGCACAGTAATCGGGCAGCCTCTTCTCCAGCCTGGGAGCTTTCTGGTACAGCTGAATGGGACCATGGAGGTACAGAGAAAAAAGATCAAGCCAGTAGGGTCCAAAAAGTTTCTGTAGTCAGAGGCTCTGGGTGATTGCACCTGGCTGGCCAAGGTGCTGCTCATACCCTCCCGAGCCTCTCTTGGTCCCATGTGGGAACCATCACCAACCCTCTCCATGCTGCATGGGATGGGAGGGTGCCAGGGCACCCAGGCCCCTCTAAGGGCTGCTCTTGGAGCCTGGGGCCCCATGCAAAGCAGCCCTCTCCTCCCCTGAGTGCCTGGGAGCCCACCTCATTCCAGCTGGTGGCACAGATGGTCTCAGCAGCATCCTTCAGGTCACTGGGCAAGTGCACAGGTCTCTCCATCACTGTCTGGATGAAGTCCACCGTGTAGAAGAAGGCAGAGAAGGCCTAATGGAGGAGTGGAAGCAGCTGTAGGACAAGCCGGGAACAAACTTGCGCCATAGAGAGCTGTGTAACCAGTGTGGTGGGCACAAGCAACCATCCTTGCAGAGCTGCAGTACGGCTTTGCTGCCATGTGACACCTGGACCCTCCACACGGCCAGCCCACCACCCTGCTCTGTGCTGGGACTTACGATGAAGTTTCCTGAAACCTCAGGCTGGAAAACTCCATCGAAGGAGCAGCGGGAGAAGGAGCAGTTGGTGAAGTCAAAGAGCTTGCTGACGTGCACAGCACAGAGGTTCCCATTCCCAGTGCCGGACACAACGACGGTGGTGTTGAGGGGAAGGCCGGGCTGCTCCTTCTCCGTGCAGGGGCTGTCATAGATGCTGCTCAGTGACAGACGCTTGCTGTAGCCCCTGGGCCAGCAAGGATTGGCGACAGTTTCTTGGTAGTTCTCAGCCTGCCGGAGGAGCAACACACGTCATCCCAGCTCCCCTGTGCCACAACCCCAGTGCTGCATTGCCTCCGGTTCCTGGAGGGGAGGTGCTGATGAGCCTGGGAAGCGGGACGCAGAGGAGCACAGAAGCCAGCAGTTGCCACCAGTGTCTGGAGATGATTGACACAGGCTTAAGGAGAGAGGATGAAGCCCTGGAAGTATGGGAGAGGCTTCAGGGGCAAAAGCCAGTGTTGGCTTTTGAGTTGAGTTGCATTGAGTTGGCTGAGAAATGTGTGCAGCTGGCCTGCCCTAGTGAACAGGGCTAGGAGATGCCTATAGGGGAAGCAGGAGGCCTGGCAACTCTTGGGTTTCTGCAAATCATCCCTCCCCAGTCCCCACTGCTGAACCCAGGGGGGCAGTCACAAGTCCAAAGCAAGGTGCTTGAAAGGAGCCAGGTCTGGTACCTCCTATTCTGTATGAATGCTGGAGTAGTGACAGGCGAGCACGTGCTAGTACCTGAAGGACCTTTGAGAGCAGCCTCTTGAGGACCTGGTCCCTTCCATAGCAGAGGAAGCTGTGGGTGTACACCTTGTATGGCTGGCCATACAGTTTCAGCATCACTTCATTTTTGGGATCTTCAATGGCATCACTGGTTTCAAAGGTGATCTGTGTGGAAGCACCTCCGAAGTCCATGGCCCCCAGGGTCCTCTTCTTGGATTGGATCCATTCCCCAAGCCAACCACGCTAGGCAAGGAGACAGCGGTGGGTGTGGGACATGATGAGTTTCAGGACAGCCTGACTGCCCTACTGGCCCCGCTGTGTGCCCCTGCCCACCTTGATGAAGTTCTCCAGGAGGTAGTTTGCCGTGACCCAGCCAAACACTCCCTCCTCCTCCCCTGACAGGATCTTTGCTCCCCGGAAATCAAAGGGGTATGACTTCA